TTTACGGGGATCCTGAGAATCCTTCAATTACATCCGTTCATATTATATTGTGCAGCCAGTTTTTATCAGGTGTTGTTTATGTTCAATTTTAAATAAAAAAATTGCAATGATTTATGACCGCACGATGTACTATGAACGGATGTGATTGGATAATCCTCAGGATCCGCACAAATAAGATCCAACCAGGATCCTATTGGGGTTGGGTAATAGCTAGCTACAACATTGCATTTGAGGTCTCGAGTTTAACTTTCTTTTTCTTCAATATTCTTTACACAACACATGGCTACTTTTCATATGACTAAAATCGCTTTTAATGTAAATATTTTTGAAACCGAAAATTAATTTCTTCAAAAGTGCTTTTAGATTTTAAAAAACATTTTTAAACAAGTCCAAAAATGTTATGATGCTCCACGATATGAGATAAGACAAAATTTTCACTGTTGAATCTTAATTTTGTCCATTTAAACAAAAAAAATTAACGATTAAAACACCAAGATTATCATATACTCATAAGCACTTTAGAAAATTCCTTAAAACAAAAGAAATTTTTCTTAATTATTTTTTAACCAAATTTGAAGCTCACCGCTCGAGATTATATCTAGGTAGGTTTTTTAGGTAGGAAAGTAGGAAGTTTGTTGCTACTGAAATTTTTAGGGACTTTCCAAAAATTGATGGACTGCCACCCACGCGCTCATTCAAACTGCGAGTGATGTAAGCGTCTAAGTATGGCAGATATATAAACCACTCTCCCTAATGAAAGTTGCAACGCTCGCTCTACAAACAAGAGACAAAACACCATTTCTCCATGGGGCAATGGTAGGCGCGTCAGATGCAGTTTCCTGTGGGGAAAGTGAGAAAGGAGAGCCTTATCGTAACAGGCAAGTCATTGGAATTATAAAAACTGAACTTTTCCCCTTGGGCACTGGCGCAGGAGGGTATCCAATGACGGGGGGCATCTCTCGGCTTTTAGCTCTCTTCAATTCTTATCGCGATACGAGAATACTCTTACTCACGTTTTTTTATTTTTCATTTTTCTTTTAGATATTGTTATTCGCTACCTTTTTTTAGATTTTACACATCACCTATTAACTTTTGTCACTTAATCATTTTTAATTCTTCTGATTCGACAATCTAAAAGTAAAAATGCTGCTTATAAGGTAAAAATATATGTTTAGATAAAACCATAATTTTTTTTTCGAGTTACGTCTATTGGTCAGACAGACACACAAATAACAATCCTCAAAGTTGATGAGGAGTTCCTCTTCCAAACACTTTGAAGCCTATTCACATAACTTCGTATTTACGATTGGAACTACTTATATTATAAATCACTTTTTAAAGATCATTTTTACAAAAAAAAAATAATTAAAAATAAATACCGTTAATCATCACTCCACAAAAAATGAGAGGATTATTCAAGAATGACGTTGAAAGCACTCATCATGCCAGTAATTTTAGACCAAATTTCATGTTTCTATGGCCTTGATTATATGAAAAATTATCATGAAATATGAACCCAATTTACTTTTTGAATTTTATATTCTATTTTGATTATTTGATTCGGAAAAGGATCATCGTCGGATTCTTTTTTTGAGAATCCTAGGGATTCCGTGATCGTGACCGTTTATCATACATCGTGTGGTTAGAAATCATTTCAAAATTTAAAATTCAAAATTAAATATAAATAGTACCTAATGAAAACTAAATGCACGATGTATGATGAACAATCACGATCACGAGATCCCTAAGATCCCTAGAAAAATGATCCTACAAGGATCTATTTCCATTTGATTCGATAATATGCAATGTTCTAAAGATTATAGCCCAAGGCCGCCTAGGCATTTGGAAGTTGGCTTTTGGAAGTTAGATTCGATGGTGACTTCGTAAAGAGATCAATGAGGCTGTCTTGCGATTTGCTATGCTTGAATTCGGTTTTGTGATGCTCTAGCAGCTGATGCAAGAAGAAAAACTTCAACACAAGGTGCCGGATTGTCTTCATAGATCATTGTTGGAATATCAACGATGGATGAAAAATTGCATGTGCTTCCAAGATGCTAAATAATGCCCCTCAACTAAAAGCATTCATGTGTGGCTTCATGTAGGGCTAGAGTTTCAACATGGTTCAACGATGTTGCAACTAAGCTCCTTGGTCTGCTTGGTTGACGTCTAAGATGTTACGGTACTCCCAATAGTAAAGACATAATCTATTTGAGAATGTGCCTTGTACGCCGGAGAACGGAGTGCCATTGGAGGTGGTGTCTGCTGACAACGGGGCTGAACACATAGCTTAGGGTCGTTGTTCTTAAGCTCGAACTCGGTCAATGGGTAAAAGAGGAGTCCCCGTCCACTTCAACGTAGGAGAGCCTCAACACCGGTGAGTTCGAGGTTGTCGTGGTTTGCATCTAAGGTTGCAAACATCATACTCGAGGTCGGTATGGTCACAGTGGACGTTGACGAATGGAAAAACACAGAGAAGTTATCAATTCTAGATAGCTGTTCAATCCGGGTCAAATTCTTTAGGAATCTGTTGAACTTGGTCGTCGGAGATGCCCACCGTCGTAGGAGGTGAGTCGAATTTCTCTGGAATCCTTCTTTCGAGATGGCGATGAGATATGTGAGGCAGACAACATCGAAATGATGTATCGCAGACCTAGGAAGGAAGATGACATTGAAACGATGTCTTTTCTAGCTAGGATTAGGGTCTGGACATGATGACTCAGGTTGGCTCAAAGCTGGCACGACTTCAGGCCGTGGCTTCTGCGCAAGTTAGAGTTTTGAAAATACCCTTTTCTTTTTCGTTTCTCACGCACGCAGAGAAACAAGCAATTATCATTGTACAATGTTCTACAAAGCGTTAGGTGCTAGTCGAGTAGAAAGAGCAGAGGCCTATTGCCTAAGCATTTAGGAGGGGGCCAAGGTTTTTTTTTTAATTTTAATTAATTTTTTAATAATATATAAATAAATGTCTACTTATACTAAAAAAATACATAATTATACCGAAATAGATCAATTGCAAAATAGAATGACATATAAATTATATAGTACTAGAACATATTCGAAAGCATAGGAAACAAACATATAATTACTATTCAGTCCAAGAATTTAACAAGTTTCTTACTATTTATTGAAAAAATAAAATGCAAAATTAAAGGAATCTATTATATGTCTAAGTGAAAGTCACAACCTAGGTGTGCTATGCACCCATTCTTGTTTTTTAAATGCTTAGGAATTAATTACGGTGATGGTTAGCCGCCTAGTGCTTCCTAACCAACTTCTAGGAGAAACATAATTGACTGTGTTGATCTTGGTAGCTATGTTGCCACCCACGACATTTAAAGAACAATAATTCAGGCAAGATAAGGGCAATGCCCTCACCCCGCAAAGAAACTCCCATCCTAAGACCACAAATTATCGAGTTACGCCCTAGGTGGAGACTTTAAGAACACTATGTTATACATTAATTTATTAGGGCTAAAAAGAACCGTGTAAAAATGATCTTCGCACTTCATGATCCGTATATCACGTAAACATGCAAAGAGTTTTAAGCCAATGATAATATCAAAATAATTCAAAAAGACAACACTAGTGATGGAGGGTCTGCATTTGACCCGGCTTCTCTGCCTTCCACTTCCCATACACTCTCATTCCTTCTTATTTTGTGCGGTCACAGTTAGGCCACGTCAACATTTTATATTGATTTTTTTTTTATAGAGATAATAAGATAAAAAGCAATAGTAATATAAAATGTTGACGTGACTTAACTGTGACCACACAAATAGAAAGAGATGAAAGTGTATGGGAAGTGGAAGGGCAGAGAAGCCAGATCTATGCATTTTCCCCTTTTTTTTTCCCGTCATTTATTGCGCACTTTAACATTAATTGCATTCTTCTAGGACAATATTATCATCATCAAATGTTGAAAAACCGATTGTGCCGAATAAGTCTTCATACTCAACTTTTCTTTTCTAATTTTATCCCTAAAAAAGAAATATACAAATTTGAGTCTAAATTTCATTTTTGCTTTCCTATCTTTACCAAACATAGTAATAGGAAAATGTATCTCTCATCCCATAGAAAATGATATGAGAAAGTATTTCACATGAATTCCTTTTTGCATACCAAATGCACCTTAATTGGGAAAATAAAGGAAACGAAGGGAATAAGAGTAACTAGCCCCCTTAGTTGATTTAATTTTCTAGTTTCAAGTATTTGATTATAGATTTGAACGAGAAACTTGTAAATAAACAAAGTTTCTCATTCCAATAAAAAAGAAAAAGGTTATTTATTCAAATTGTATTGCTTTCCTAGTTTAGAAAAAATAATAATAAAAAAAAACTAACCTATAAACTACTTCAAATGTTTTTTTTTTTTTTGACAAATGATATTATCTAACCTAAGGGAAAGGAGGAGTGCTTAACCTCACAATGAGCTCACAACTTTTCTTCTTTTAAAAATATATTTTTTTAATACAAATTCCCTATATTCCAAATTAAAATCGTGACCTCTATACTAAGAAGAAAAACGACTACTTTTGTAAAAAAAATTTAAGGGTAATTTTAAAATTTTATTTTATTTAATGAAGATTTTTTTACAGAATAATCAAAATAATCGATGATGAATAAACTTAAGAACCATTCTTATCGATTATAAATCTCACAAATCATAGTAATGAGTTATACTAATTGCATTTTTTTTTTTTGATAAAAAAACCAAAGAAAAATGAAAACAAAGTAGAATAAGAGATTTTGGAGAGAGAAAATGAAATTGAAAAGGATGGAGAGAGGAGAGAAGTAGAGTGGGTCTGAATTCTCCCAACTCCAACCCTGCCCTTTCTTTCCCTTTCCTTCTTCAACTCTACTAGTCTCTCTCTCTCTCTCTCTCTCTCTCTCTCTCTCTCTCTCTCGGCATTGCCACTTACAAATACCCTCCCACTCACCCTTGCTTTGCCTTCCTTTCCGATTTTCCCATTTCCCCCATTTTTCCCAGTTTTCCGTTCTCTCTCTCTCTCTCTGTCTCTCTCTCACCTTCAATGAGTTGAACAAACAATTTCACCAGGGAAGAAATAAGAATAGCAGGAAATGGGCAAGTACATGAGGAAGTCCAAGCCCACAGGGGAAGTAGCAATCATGGAAGTCTCACACTCCCAACCCTCTCTTGGGGTTCGCACCCGAGCCAAAACCCTAGCTCTCCAGAGGTCGTCGGCTCAACCTGTCACCTCCGCCTCCTATCTCCAGCTCCGCAGCCGCCGACTCGAGAAGCCCCCGATTCTTATGACCAAGCGGCTCGAGCCCAGAAGGCAGAAACCCAAGGCTGCTCCTAATTCCAGGGCAAGTTCGAGGCTTGGGGTCGAGTCTCGGTGCCAAAAGGCTGAGGCATCTGAGGAAACGGCAGCGAAAGAGGAAGAGGACCGAGGACAGAATGAGCAGGGTAACACCAACAACAACGAAAATGCTGATTTGGGTGTCGAAGAAGCTTCGTTTGGAGAGAATGTGCTTGAGTTTGAAGGTAGAGAGAGGTGGGTTTTCTCGGTTTTCTTATTTTAGTTTTAATTTTCTGCGAAACCTCATCGTTCTGTCTTTTTTTTTTTTTTTTTTTTTTGTTTCTCGGGGGGGGGGGGGGTACTTCAAGAACAAAAAAGTTGGACATCTGTTTGGTTTCTGAGAAATTGAATGGAGATTTTGGGGGTTTTCAATGTTTTGGTTAGGGTTTTGGGGGTTTTCAATGTTTTGGTTAGGGGAAAGTGGATAATTTTAGTGAATTGAAAATTTGTGCAACCAATTGCTGCTGTTTAGTTTTTATTGGACCTCCTAGTTTTAGGGTTTTCTCTCAAATTTTTAGGGCTCCGAATGAGAGATAGATTTAATACTTAGGGTTTCTTAAAAATTTCATTTGGGGAAATGATAATTTAGCATTTTGTTCTAAATTCTTCTTTAAATCGCTGTATTCTGTTTGGATGCTAAGAAAATGAATTTGTCTACTGGATAAAGTTGGCTTGGAAGTTGGGTTTTTCTGTTTTCTTTCATGCACCGTTTGGTTACTGTGAAATTGTAAGAAAGAGAAAGAAATGGATAACTACAAATTCTGGTCTACTCGGATTAAGAACCTGCAAAGGCAATCTTTCATAAAACTGAGATTAATAGAACTACTTGTTTAGCATCAGGTCATTGTTCTATCTGACAAAACCAAAACTAATTTTTAGAAATTTAGAATTTTTGGAAAATACATTTGAAACACTCTTTGTTATATTTTCTCAGAACAGTGCAACTCTAAAGTTTTCTTGAAGCATTTTGAGTGAAAAATTTCTCACCAAATATGTAGTAGCATAGTGATTTGTCAAATAAATGTAGTAGGATAGTGATATGTAGTAGCATAGAGTTAGAGTCTTCATTAAATGATTTGTCAGTTGAAACATTTTGAGTGAAAAATTTCTCACCCGATATGTAGTAGCATAGTGTGTTAAGTAATTACTGTTTCTGATTGAGTCAGAAAATAAAAGAAAGGATGCTAATGTTACTTCATGGTCGATTCTTTTTGTCAATGATATTGCATGAATCTTTCTCATAGTTAACAACATTTGAGATGCAAAACTTGTATATTGAGACAGCAAACAACAGAAAGGATAATAATGTTACTCTGCGGTGTGTTATTTTTGTTAATAATAACATCATTGCATTATCCTTGTCTATAAGTTAACAACATTTGAGATGCAAAACTTGTATTTCTTTTACAGACAAATTACTGCGTCATCATCTAAGCGAAGTTTAGCTTGGGTTACATTTTCCTCCTTGTTCTATCTAATGGGTTTGATCTTCTTTATGACAGAACCACAAGGGAGTCCACGCCGTGTAGCTTGATACGGGATCCAGACACCATCAGAACCCCTGGTTCTACTACCAGGCCCACTAATTCAGCTGAAGCTAATCGGAGAATACAGAACTCGTCGCAGAGGCACATACCCACAGCACATGATATGAATGAGTTCTTTGCTGGTGCTGAAGAAGAGATGCAAAAGAAATTCGTTGAGAAGTACGTTATTCATTACTCTTTAACTAGTTTCAAGTTTAGGCTAGACTTTTTATCACTCCTCATATATGCTAAATACAACCTTGATTTATATCCTCACAAATGATATCATATTTCTACTGTGGGTTTATATGCAGATACAACTTTGACCCTGTGAATGACAAGCCACTCCCCGGGCGTTATGAATGGGAAAAGGTGGATCCGTAGAAGACACTAGCATATCCGTCAGGACTTCCTTTCCGGCACATTCTTGGTTGATCTCGGGCTAACTAGCAGGGTTTAGGTTTTTAGTAGTTGCGGTGATGGTTGCTATTTCTATTTTCCATCACCCTTCTTTTACTTGTAAAGAAGTAGGAGTGGCAAAGATGTGTAGACTAATGATCTGTAACATAACAGGTTCTGTGAGTACACAACAAATACAAATCAAAGAGTTCCTTGTCTAACAGATCATCTCAGGGAGAGGAAGGGAAAGAGGGTTTGAGATGCAGGGTTAGGTAGGGTTAGGGTTAAGTCAATTAGGTCAGTCGGTCTATGTGGTACAGAAAGTTCAATGTCTATACTTGTACTGATGCAAACTTTAGGAAACTGTTGGAATAAACATGACCCTTTTCCCCTCTTCCCATCTGCTATTCTATTATCTTCTGCAGTTTCAATTTTGTCTTTTATATTGCTATGTGAGACAATAGCTTCAGATGATCAGATGATGGTGCCCCTTCACTGTCTTTCCGGAGCTACATTATTTAGGGATCCAGATCCTCTCCGGATCTAAGGATGCTGAGCGTAGGAATCAATTTTTTATCTTTTTAACTTTTTTATGAGGATGTTATCTTAGCGTAACGGAAATGTTGCTCATTTGTAACTGAAAAGGTCAATTGTGAAAACAAACTCATTACAAAGCTAGGGAGGCTGCATGTGATAGACATCTCATGTCTCTGGCAAAGTGGGAACTCTTGTTGGCTTGGAGTCGTTTTTTTTTATTTTATTCTATTTTATCTGCTAGTGAGAAAGGATAAGTTTTGATGGTAACCGAGCTAATGGTAGGGTAGGTTTTCATGCTTTATGATGGAGATGTGTACTTTTGTAAATTGAAAGAATCTTTTCTTCTCCATTTTCATATCATGGTAATATTCAAGCTAAATTTAACGAGAGTTGCCGCTGTATGAAATTGTTGGACTTTTGTATGCCAACCAGAGTTAAAGTAATGGAAGAGAGATCAATAGATGGCTACATCATTGTATTATGAGATGTGAAGACTAAAGGTAAGCTTGTTTTTTGGACTGATGAAAATGTTTTTTTATAATTAAAAGCGATTTTGACTACGTTTGATTGAAATTTTTTAAAATGTTCTTGGGTTGTTCTTCTAAAAGACAAGTCAGGTAGAAAAAATGTTTCATGATAATTTGCATAAACACTTATGAGTACAGAAGCATCGCGAAAAGAGTTCTAAGTAGAAGGTGTGAGCCATTTTTTCTTATATAAAGACAACTAAAAAAAATACAGACAAAAAATCGTTTTAAATAGCACTTAAGCTTGTATATTCAATTCAATAAGTACTTTAAAATACTCTATAAAAGTATAGATTTATTCAATGAAAATTTAAAGGAGTATAAAAATTCAGTTGTATTTAACTAAGATTTAGTGGAGTCTCTAAAATAGGGGCATTGATAAAGTGATTGATTTGAGATGATTATAAAACGTGATCGGGTCAAGTGGATTTTGAGGGATTAATAGTGTGTTTTAGATTGTAATAACAAATTCAACACCTCCCTTATAAGTTTGATGGACTTTTTCTAAATATCCTCTCTCTCACTCTCTCTCTTTCCATAATATAGTACACACTTTCTCTACTATCATCATCTTGTCATGACTATCACCACCATCTTTTACCACGTTGTTGTCACCACCACTTTGTTATGAGTCATAACCATTACCACGGGCGGAGCCACCCACATGATTAAGATGGGTTGTAGTTCAAGGAGGTTTTTTGTAAGTGTAGTGCTATTTATACATCTATTTTTATTTCTCACACATCCTTCTTAGTTTTTGGCTTTCAGATCAAATGAACTGATAAAAATCAATGGCAAAAAAAATCAATAAGGGTGTGTGAATAACACTATCCTTTTTTAAACTCATGCTTTAATGGCTTATGTTAATACATGTAGCCTATATAGCCCACTCATCTCCATTATAGATGATTATTTCATGTATATTTAGTAGAGAAGAGGATATGTAACAAATAATATTTTTTATGTTGATAATAATAAATTAGTTCTATCTCCCCTCCCCCTCTATCATATTCGTTAAAGAAAAAGACCATTATCTTTTACGGTTTAGTCTTTGTACTTCTTACTCAAGAAAAGAAAAAGAATTTTCTTTTAGTTCACAATTAAATCTCTATCTCTGCAATTCCTTACTTTTTGTTCCGATTTTCCAATGAATGGAACCTTTGGTACGTTCTTAATCTTTTTATTTCCTTATTCTTGATTTATTTAGTAAGTTAATTATTTATATGGTCCTTGAAGTTGCCGGTTGGGGTTATAATTTTGAGAATTGTTTATATTCTGTTGTTCTTTTATATTGATTATTATATAATTTTATGTAAGACAAAAATAAACATATAATTTTATGGTACTAATTTCAACGAGCCTACCAAAAAAAAATTCCTGACTTCACCCTTGATCATTACCACATTACCACGACTACCACCACAACCACCTTCACCACCATTGTAACTACAACCATTGCCACGACACCACCTCGATTGCCACCACCATCACCACCACCACCTTGTCATGGTAACTACCACCATAACCTTCCATGACCACCTTGTCATTAACGCCATCAACACTCCTATCATCATCGCCACCGCCCACACCAACTTCCACTAGCACCCACCGCCACCACCTTATCACGACCACTACTGTCATGACCACTGACATTACCTACTCCTAACCATCACCTTACCATGGTCATAGTGACCATTTCAAATATGAAAATTCGAAACTACCAAAAATGCTCATTAATAAATGAACCACTAAAAAGTTCATGAGAATCCATTAAATTCACGATAATATTCTCACTACTTCTATTGAAGTTCATATAGAATTCAGTCAAAGTCGACATGAAGTCGATGAAAGTCAAATTAAACTTCCTCAAAATTCATGAATTTGTAACTCTATAAAAACCCTTTGATCTCAATTGAATACATCTCTCGAGTGATTTGGAAACAAAGGGAGATCGTGTTGAAAGAACATAGGTCCAAGGACAATATGAGTTTCTTAAAAGATCTGGAAAAGAAAAAAAAATGCCTAGACAATGTTGACGACTAGACCTACCAAGTAATTTCATAATGTATCATTTATACATTTATATTATGACATGTAATGTATCAAATGCGAAGCCATGAAGGGACCACGATGGTCTCAGACCCATTCTGATCATTTTTTCACTCATAAAAGTTTAGTGTTGTGCTTATGATTTTTAAGGTCTTTTTGTAGGCTTAGGACCCCAATCCGTTGTTTTTAGTTTAATTTCTTTTATTGAGTTTGATTCGAGGTTGGTGGCTTCTATAGACTCCAAGCAATCTGTTGCTTGTGAGCTTTAAGGAGGAGGAGCGAGAGATGAAGAAAGTTAAAGAGGCTTGGTGATGACATCGTAGCAGACCAAACGATGGTAATCAATTGCTTACCACATAGTAGAATAATTTTATAAGTTTAGAAGAGCGTTTCAGATTGAGACTTTTCGACACCTTTTATGCTTAAGTCCTGGTGGTGCCACTGCAATGCACCGACTCGTTTTCTGGACAATGGGTACACCGTACACGCCATCACCATCCGTGAATAAATAGGGATAGAAATTGCAATGATGGTTACGGTGGAAGTTGGTGTTGCTTAAATGGTATTGGATGAAAGTGAGGCATCTTCAAATTCCAATGAACATTTCTCTAGTTTTTAAGTCTTTCAAGTATACACTCATTGCTTTGCTTGCCAATCGAAGAGGGTAACAAAGAAACTGTCTCGCGCCGTGCCTTTTTGCCCTTATTTGTGAAAGGGTAATGCTAGGTAAATTAAATTTGAAGACTAAATATGCAAACTAAATGATGTGTCACCAATAGAAATAAACACGTTAATCAACGCTTAAGTAATAATTCAATCATCAACTTTCATGTCATTTGTTTTACAAAATTTAGTGTACAAATTTAGTCTCCCTAACATTACCATAATCCAAAATATGAGTGGGTTGCTTGCTTGAATCACACACATTTGGAATAATGGGCATGCATTTTTTCAAATTTAAAATCATGGTTTACCATTAATGACATTTGAACTTTAATTCAAGATTAAATTTTTAAATCAAATTTTATAAATCAAATGATGTGGATGTTGATGATTAAATTATTACCTAAGGATTGATTAACGTGCATATTTTCTATTGGTGACACATCACTTGGTTTGCAAATATTACTCATTTGACCAAAATTTATGGGAATTTATTCATGATAAGTGACAATTCATAGTTATTGAAATTTATGTAGAATGGATATATAAGTTATAACCAATAAATATATGAGTAATATTAAGGAGACTCTCTCAAAAGTGAGACTCTTCATCGACTCTCTGCCACCTCGTGTTTTTGGCACAATGTTTTATAATCTTAGCACAAAAATTGACGTTAAATTATGAGGAGAGTCTATGGAGAATCCCACTTTAAAATAGTCTCTTAGCATTTCTCAATGTATAAATATTATAATTCAAGTAACACATGTGAGATTGTTTTTAACACGTGATAGTAATAAGTGAAACTTATGTGTATGTATATATATTTGAACTACATATTGCTAGTTCATTGTGAAGTTAAACTTGTCCCTCCCTTTAATGTAGATAATATCGTTTGTGGGCTTAGCCTCACAAATGGGCTAGCAATATGTAATTCAAATTCGTCTTTGGCAAAAATCAAACCTAAAATTTCTTATTTACAAATGAAAAAAAATACCACTATATCGTATTACTAAGTGGCGAAACTTATATAATATTGAATTCGGCTATTTTGCCACTCATCTACATAATAATGACCCAAATATTCTTGTGAGATGAGGGTCTTTGTCTTTTTACCACTAAACAAAAGATGAAATAAATCTCTTTAGTGGCGGTGTCGGTTGGACTTGAGAAGAAGCACAGCACGAGACAACTGATTTTTTTTTTTTTCTTTCTTTTTTTGTTGAGAAAGAGCACGAGACAACTGTTTGGTACTGAGGAATGCTTTTTATTTCCTTAAAAAACTCGATATTCTTTTTTCGTTTTACCCTTGTTCTGAAAATCCAACTTTTCTCTCCTACAAAATTCAACCCCTAATTCTCTTTTTATTGACCCTAAAAATTACACGGATTAGACTGAAGTAATCTAGGAGCTAATTGCGTCCTTATGTGGATGATTGCTAATGTGAGTGTACCAATTTATTATCAAGCTCAGTCTAGCAAATAAGATGGATGTGGTGGTGTGATGATAAAATGCGATGCTGATTCCTACACCGGATGACTTCGGCTGAGGAAGAAACATTATCGACTTTGAGTTTAAAACTTGAAGACAAGGTTATATCATCTACTACAAAGTACGATCTTCTACACTAGGTTCAACGACTTCAACTATATTTGTGAAAATATAAGTGCGTAGAATCGATATCAAGTTGTTGGGACAAATATACGAAAAGGAAATTAGCATCTTTATGGTGACTGTTGTTTGGTTGTTTAAATGCCGAACTCTAAATGGTACTTGTGAATCCCTATTATAGAACACCTCACTTCTTTGAGAGAGCAGATAAAGTGACCTCTTTCGGTAAAAGAATCAAAGACTCTTCACCAGCTGGGACTTGGGATAGATAACCAGAAACTCCTAAGCCAAGCTGATTCTACGGCTCCAATTATGTTTAGCCGAATTGAATTTGTAACCGATTTGTTAACCTAGTGATGTTTAACCAAAATAAATTTGTGTTGAAAAGAGCTAGTGAAGCAATTACTACTTTTCTTAGGAGTGTGAGAGGGTTTCGCATAGAGCGTTTGTCTATGTGTTGAGTTGAATGTCATCTCTATGTAGCAAACCAATTGTATTTATAGGAAAATTTGGTGATGGCCAAGTCTGCCGAGTAGTAGAATCACACTAGGATTAAAAGTCCCCAGGATTATATAACTTCACTCAGTATTATCCTAGTTAGCCTTCTTCAATCAAGACACCGCCACGGCCGAGTTTCACATGTACTAGGATTCTCAACCCAATAGCCAATTGAATAGGCTTGAGTTTACATTATTGAAATCCATTTTCACCCAAGAAAATGGGCGAACCAACCCACTTAATCTATTCTAAGGTAGGTTGGGTTGGGCAGGTTCAATGGGTTGAGATTGTTTACTTTCTTTTTTATTTTGACAAAAAAAGAAAAGAAAAAGAGGTGAGTATAAGTGACAAATAATCTAAAATACATATCATATTAAACTTAGATGGTGTGAATTTGGTGTTGCAGCATCCTATCTATTACTTAATATTTAAATTTCATTATTTAACTAAAGTTAAATAAACAAGTGTGTTTAGTAACTATTAAGTTTATATATGTCTATGTAACATACATTTATGTTTAAGAATTGTTGATATTCGGGTGGGTTGATTTCAATCGGATTAATAATACTTTAACTCAACCCAACCCACCTACGAACGGGTGGTCGGGTTGGTCCGTGAACCCACTAAAGTGCCTACCCCTAGTTGTATGTTTCACAGGGATGTGATAGGATGTATTTGTAGTGTACCACAACCTATGCTTGATAAGCGGAATCCTAATAGGAAGAGAAATATGAAAATAACACGATACTGGCCGTTTAGTACTATAGGCTTAGTAGTATTCCTCTTAATTTGTAAGTAAGAGGAGTTCGATACCAATTTGTTCCCCTACCCCTTTCAAGTCTTTTGTAATTCTAAATAGGGTAAATATATTTTTGTATAAAAATAAAATAAAAAATATGTTAAAAACTCAAAATGTTGTTTTGGGCTAGTAAACAATAGAATTCGACTTAAAAAACCCATATCAGACACCAGTGCTGCCGGTTTTATGCTTATCGAGTTGCTCTTCAATCCTTTCAGTCATCTTATATTCCACATTCTGCATATTTGGGTTATGTATCGATTTTATATTGTACATTACAAGTAAACATTAAACATAGCACCATATAGATTGAGCCCTAAAGTTGAAGATGGCTAGTGGTCATGGGCTGAAAAATGGAGTCGGACTCCAAAGCAGCTGCTAACTCCGGCCACAGGATAGAAGAAACAGTCCATGAGCCATCACCCTTTGCACTTGACCTTTGGTTCATGTAAGCCACTCCAATCCTCTCAATTGTGGAACAAACAGTCCCAAGTACCGGACTTCCAAATCCAAAGTCCAACTCACCAACTGGAAACCTTCTTCCTGATGATAAAACAACCGTTGGGCCTCCTTGTCCCAGGACAACCCTGGATAACATAATCCCAGGCCTGTGACACTCAATCCAATCAATCAAGTCCAAGAAATGCTCCTCATTTGTCACCTTTGAAATTGCCTCACCAACCATATCAGCAACTTCTGAGATTGAATTTTGATTCAAATCACTCACACTTGCCTCTCCACATGCCAACGACAACACATTTCCAATGTAATTTGACAATGAGTTTTCATCTTCGTTTTTGTGCAATCTAGACCGTCCATCTACCAGCCACCCCATCTTGCACATTCCATGGGATTTTGTATCGATGGCATGTGACCATGGTTTTCCATATGTAAGCCGAGACTGCCTCAATTTTTGTTCTCTGCTTTCCATTTTTTGATGCAAGATTTTGCAGCTGCTTGATGCTCGAACCGTCGATGAAATAAAGACGCTTAATCAAGGTTTTGGCTGTTGGGATATTCATAATCTCTTCCATGGTGCACTTGACAAACGTGTGGTCCAAGGAAGAGTGATACGTTGGAGGGCTTCGCGCACGAAGGTGTAGGTTTCTCCGGTGATCCGGCATGCAGGAAATCGGCTTCTTTCGTGCTATTTCGGACCATGAGAGAAGAAAATTGCCAAAGCTAGTGGCGTCTCCAAGTGCATGGTCAAAAGTGAACGTGATTGAAACGCCTCCGCATGTATAAAATGTGGCTTGAACTTGTAAAGGAAAATCAGGGTTGATGGAAACTAGTTTATCCTTTTGAAGAGATCGATCAATATTGTAGAAATTCAATCTTTTCAAAGGAATGTTGGCATGAGCTTCCACAACTAGGGCACCCGAGTTGTCACACATGATTTTGGGCTCGTTGGTATGCGGGTTAGTGACGATTCGACCGCAGAAGGGGTAGTAACAGTCGAGAGTATTGGCAAGGGAGGTCTTTAAGGACTCAATGATAGAGGTAAAGTTGGAAGCATCATGATCGTGATCATGTGGTTTGTTGGGATAGAAATAGAAGTATGTGACCGGAAAGCGGCCGGAGAGCAAGTCGAGGTTTGATAGAGTGAGGATGTGAGGCTGGTCCGGCATGGGATTTGTAGCTTTGACAATAAACTTGCCGGTGAAGTTCACTTCGAAATCAGCCTCTACTGCCATTGGAAATTATTCTAGCTGGTTTAAGTTTGAGGAAAATCATTGGGTCATAAGCATATTTATATTGTGTTATGGACACAAGTTGGTGACTCGAACATGAACCTCGCAGCCTGTAGCAAACTATCAAGAAAATTACCCAAATTAACAGACTTATTAGCAATGAGTATTGACTCGTTTCGTTATTCCTTTTTAGGAAAGGTATCTTCAGTCAGAAACAAACACCAAAAATTCGAAAATATACCAATCACTGCATAAACACTATTCATGTTAGAATTCGCGTCTTCGAATAATGCGTCAAAGAAACTTCATCAAATTGAGGTACGCGTTCAATAGTTCATTTAAGGATGGATTCACTTTAGTGGGAAATCATATTTTCTAGTGTGTTCGGAACACGCGACAGAACACCACATCTTACTATACAACTAGAATAACACTTCAAAAAAAAACTTTACTCCACTTGTATAATAACCTGTATCAAATCACTGAAAAATCTATCCTTTAATGGCGTATTGTTGTTATCATTATCTTCTCTTTTTTCTTTTGTATAATACCTTTCAACGGACGCATTTCATAGGAGAAAAAAACTTTAGTTTGCATATGATGACGAAGAGAGTAGGTGGAAAAACACATTTGATTTGAGCCCTCAAGTTTGGCAGGCAACATGATTGTTAACCCACTGATTCTGAACCATCCGTTGAAGAATTGAAGCATCAGAAAACACGGAACTCGGCTTAGTTTATATATGGAAAGTGTTATTTGCATTCTAAAAATTTCATTCTACACTCTTCACAAGTGTATTTTTCTTTCTAAATATAAAAAGTTTGGAGTGCAGAATGAGAATTTTGAAGTGCCAATAACAATTCCCTTAGTATATTCATCAATAATATTCCATAACAAGAGCTAGCTCCATATATCACTTACTTCTTGAAAAAAGTTGAGGTTCCATATAAAATTAATTAGCAATATAAGAAATAATTCAACCTCTCACACATCTCATCATGTGTCATGTGTGACGAATTTTCAAACTTAATACGTAGATAACACAAACGGGATGATGTCGAATGGATAGTACAAATGAGGTGACGTGGAGTACGTGTGGTTGTTGGGTTTCACACATGGGCAAACATACTCTGATACCATGAAGAAAGTTGAGGTTTTACCATAAAACCAATTAGCAATATAGAAAGTAGTACAACCTCTTATAAGCCTTTGCAATGATTTGATCTTTTACCGATGTCGGACTTTGGTCTCACATTCCCACACTTGTTCTCCTAGATTCTAGAATCCAACAAAATTGTGTTCTATCTTCTATTTTACTATTAGATTAAAATCAAACAGTGAATGGCTATGATTTTTTTTTTATTTATCATATATCACAAATACAAACGTAATCAATTTCAAAGCAACTTTTGAAGATTCCCCGTTAGCTTGCTCGCGGTGGGTCAAAGGTGCGCGTCATATTACAGTTAGCTTGCCTATTTCGGTACTCACAATACGGACAATATAGTTGATCAAGCATGCTATTACATGGTTCCATAAATTTGGGAGGGGGAGGCTTTTGCTTTGCGAGCCACTTAAAATTGTAGCATTCTCATCTCGTCTTTGATACGAATCTTAGACTCTTAGTGCTTGTCTTGTCACCATTAAAAATGTGTTGTGGTTTGAAAATACAAGCATTAGGGCACGAGCATGCATATGTCCACTAAGTCCGGATACTCGATGGATTCTCTTTGTAAGAATTTTAGAGATTTGTTAATCGTATCCGTTCATCGTACATCGTACGGTCAAAAATTATTTTCAATATTTTTATTAAAAAATAAAAATAAATAATACTTGACAAAAACTGACCATACGATATAAGATGAATGAACACGATTCACGTATATTTAGGATCTTCACCAAAAGGATCCGAAGAGGATCCTGTTGGTACGTCCACTAATAAGGTGGCCAACAAACACTAATTCCCGAGTTTACTTTATAAATGAATTCGGCCAATTTAATATTTTACGGTCCGAGTCTAAGGAAATCGTAATTAGAAAACTACAAATTGTTAACATACAAAACCTGACATCCAAACGAAAGCACCGCTGCAAGTCCTGTCTTTTTCCATAAAAGTTTTGGATTCCAAGAACCACAATATATGAGCAAGTTAAGAAATACTGACTTGGGTCACGAACAGTGCCTTTGACAGTATAACCCTTTTGCAATAAGAGCTTCACCAAGTATGATGCTATGTAACCTGATGCTCTTGTTACACACACACACACTCTAAGCTTGATTATTAGTTTTTAATGGGATGATTATTTTGGCACTCGTCCACCGCTCATTTTTGTGGCACTCCTCCACCACTAATTTTTTTGGCAATCATCCTCCACCATTCCTTTGAGGTGTTCATGATGAGGTAAGTTAAGGCGATTTTTGGAGTGTAGTGACTTAATTAGTACACTAAACTTTAAAACCTACTGCACTCTTGTGATATTTACGTGAGAGATATTTACGAGCCGTTCTATTTGGATACATTTGATTTCTAACGATAAAAAAAATAGTGTCCTTTTTGGTTAGCTGTCACGAGGCACAACCTAACGTTCCAACGGTTATAATGTTGAAAATCAATGGTCAAGAGTATTCTAATGGTAAAAAAATTCCAAAAGAATACTCTCTGTTTTTTATATAAGTCAATGTTCTTCCTTCTTCATTCTTCACACCACAACTCAATATTTATTTTTACAACAATATGCTATATTTGTTCTCTACCTCCCAAATATTTATTGAAATTAGATTTTATTTGAGAAATAATGACAAGTGGAAAATAAGGCCAAGAAAACATAAATATAAAAATATAAAATATATATGTAAATCGTAATTGCCCTTGCCTTGCCCTTTCTCCTTCCAAACAAGTGAACTTGCACAAAGACAATTACTGTTTGAAATGAATAGTAAGGACAATTTTATTTTCTTTCTCCTCCAATTGTCGTTGCCTTCCACAAACGGGTGGAGATGCTCTTAAGGTTGGACCAGCTCGGTGCCACCACCAGTAGTTCATAAGAATTGACAGTCGTGCATTCGTACGAAGGCATGTCGCATCAGAGATGGAGCCAAAAATTTCTTCTAGTGGGGGCAACCGAAAACAACTAAGAAAATCTTATTATAATATCATTATACGCAATATGATATTAAGGATGGTTTCAAATGATAATGTATCACAATTCCAATGTTACAAAAATTTCAATATAGTAGTGGAAAGTGGCAAAGTGATGAGAAAAATATAAGTACATGATAGGTGGGAGAGGATTTTTTCGGTTTGAATGATAGAACAAGAGCATGTATTGCTCATATAATATTTGATTTGGAGTATAAGTAGAATGAATGTATGTTGGATATTATATACATATATTTTCTTCAAAGATAACCTGTGTATATTATATAATTGTAATCTGCAACTAAACAAACGAATTATTTAAGTGGGAGTATCTGCCCCCAATGAGCCTTCATTGGTTCCGTCCATGTGCCGCATAGGCACCTGTGGCCTGACGTCTGCAAGGGGTGCACATACTGAACAACGGCGATATTCTGGGCAACGGTTATGCTTCCTCTTTTCGGCTGGACTTATTGTTCATCTTTTCAAATTAAAGCGCATTTTGCATGCATATGAGGAAATGAAAAGAGATGCCATGCCACTAAGAGACCCATTTTTCAGTTCATGTAGAGAGATTTTCATGAACATAGTTCTACAAAATAGAAACTGAGGTGACAATCAATGATATTAGGAAAGTTGTTTACTACCAATCTACAAGACAATGTGTGAAAGTGTCAACCAAATATACGCAAGATTGTGTGTGGAACAGATAACAAATAGGCAAGAGATAAAGGGAAAAGAAATCTCAACTTGAAAATTTTCATGTGGAATTAGTTTCGTAAAGATATGTAGTGTTGTAAATTTGTAATAGCTTAAGATGTTGACAAGTATCACAAGATAACGATGTCAGTTATTTTCCTAGCTAAGATTAGTTAGATTGATTAGTTGCTTAGTCTATAAGGAACTAGACAACTATATATCATTGTAATAGCTCATTTGTATTCATCAATGAAATATACAAAAAAAGATTATCTTCTTCCTCTCTGAGTACTTTCTTATTTCTTCTGTTAAGTTCTTCAATCTAAAGATAAACAATTTGAACATTGCAAATTAACATGAGCCATATATTATTAAAGATCTAAAGACTAATCTACGTGAAAGATGGAGACTCCTCGTATACCATAATCATTATTTAATTAACAATCTTTTTATTAATTATTGGTTAACATGTTGATTAAATGCTAATTAATTTAGTTGATGTGACTGTCTAACTCATCTGCCACATAAGATGGTAAATAAATGTAGTATAAAATTATGGTAAGAATAACATATATGACTTGGATCCGATAATTTGAAGACAAAACTACAAAATCCAAAACCCAGAACTTGAAAATGAACGATAAGAAAATAATTGTAAGTCGAGAAAAGGAGGAAGAAAGGAAGTAGAAGTACTCGGATCACGAACAGAAGCTTTGATAGCATAACCTCTTTGTAGTAAGAGCTTCACAAGCCATGACGCTACGTAGCCGGAGGCTCCTGTTACACACACACACACACACACACACAACCTTTGTTTCTCCACTCATTTTCTCTACGTATCCATATCACTAACCACTTCAGTTATGTAATGGTAGAGTTGGTGTTTTTTTTTTTTTTTTTTTTTTTTTTTTTTATGGTGGAATGTTGGCTGAAGAATATCTGTTATGTAATGGCCCGCCATTGTCTCCTATGAAGATTGACCAAATAAAGGCACTATTACTTAATCTTGTTGGAAGTCATTGTTTATGAATTAAAGTTCGATTGAGAAGGGATCTACTTATTTCATCTGCTCAAACACTGCAAATCAACACGTCATCCGTACTTGCTGCATGGAGCCAGAAAAAAGGGAAACATATCATTTCAGAATTTTTTCCACCAAGATCACCGAATCAAGTGATCCGGACTTTTCAAATTTTATCCAACGATCCACCTGTTTTGATCCCTTAAAAGTATTGATAATTTTGTATCGTTGAATGAAGTTTGAAAGGTCCGGATCACTTGATCCAGTGACCTTGGTGAAAGAGATCAAAGAGGATCTCTTTACAAAAAAGAGTACGGTAACTGAACTTATTTACTCCAACTTGCACCCAATTTGTGTTTAGAAGCAAAGAGGGCCAGCGTTTGTCACACGCCATTGTTTGAAGAGATTTTTTTTGTCAGAAATTCATTACTTGTCAGTTGTTTATTGGATGGTAGGACATTTTAAAATACATGACAAATATTTATTGAGCAATGAGATTAAATCTTAGTTGCATTAGAGATTGTTCATTATGTGACTAAAAAGTATATTCAGATGTGCCAAGTTTTAAAAAGTGTGAAATCGGTGCAGATTTCCCTACCCCCCTTAGTGTAAGCAAAAAAGATTAAATGAGAGAAATACCTGGAGACTTCCTTGGGAAAGTATCAAAGATATGCTAGTAACAGAAAGAAAAGCAACAACTGAAAGTGGGAGAGTCCGAGCCGAAAAGACGGCTCTTCAAGACACCAATTATTTGGTTTAACATAATATTCTCAGTAAAATGAGTTTTAGTGTCTCCCGAATAACAATGGCTAGCACTTTCTCCAGACCAAATACTTCACATTTTATTTCAGACTTTGAAGTACGACGGAAAGCACCCCTACGGTAATATTTATGAGCAGATTGGCATGATAATATACAAGTACATATGTCATGATTATCAACTTAATTGCTCAACATCGACGAGTTCCATGATTAGAAGAAGTTCTTCTGCTTCAAACTTTCAACGGCGTCCTTCAAAGTCACCTCCAGAGGAGTATACATGTTAGAATTCATTTGTCCCACATCGGCTACAGAGCTTGAGAATAAGTCCTTTATATAGAATTACCCCATTCTAACTAATACCCAGATCTTTTATATTAAAACCTCATACCTGACGGATTGAGCAGGTAGCCAAGTGAGGACAGTATAGATGTTATTGGAATGGGCACATGGCTCGTCTACCTGAAATTTAAGAATACACAACATCCATTAAGAATACACAACATCCAAAGTCTCAGCTCTTTCCTTGGATATCTGGAAAGTTGGTGCAGAAGGTTGATCATCTGCACTTCACAAAACCAGGTCTCCAGTGATAACCTTGACTCAAAATACCTAATATATGCTAATTAAGATATTCTCAAAAGGAAAGGCCACAAAACAGGACCCTAGAGTGCATAAGTAAACCCACACTATCCTTAGAAGTGCCTCTAACACGCGTATAATTAAGATGCAATAATGTGGCTATGTTTAGCAACTTACTACTTTCCGGAAGATTGAGAGCAGGGAAGAGATCACGCAGAATGTTAACGGCCACAGAATAGTGTGCTACACTTCCAACTATAGAATACCTCCCACTAGCTGAAGGATTCTCAAAGGCTAGAATATGTGCATTAGCAACATCTCTAACATTAACCCATCTCTGAGTTACATTTGGAAATTTTCCGGTTCTTGCATAAATGATAAATTAGGAACAATAAATTTTCATAGATTTAAGTTTTCACAGAAAGAGTAGCATATTGATGACATTTGTATCCAGAAGAGATCGCAAATGATGAGCTCAATAAAGTCCCAATCCCAAACAATCATAAAAGATCTGTGCAAGAAATAGTAAAATGAACTTTCGATGATTGAGTTGCATTGGTTAAATGCAAGTCCTCTGTTTTGAATTATGCAGAAGTTATGGCGGAGCAACAGGAACTTTGATATGAAAACTAAAAGCGATGAACTCAATTAGCTGAGATTTGTTGAATTATAAGTTGTGAGCTGATATTATTAGAATAAGTTTTGTGTTAAATGGTGTATCCATTTGTGCAAAGAATGCCAAGTGTAAATTTTTGATATGTAAAGGCCATGAGTGCCACGTGGATTTTGACTGTTATTATTAGTTAGATGAATGGATGTGATCTAAGCTTAGAGAGGGAAGGATCCATCAGTCTCTCTAACGGTAATATTCCCTCCTTGCACGACTTGTGTGCGAGAGAGGTATCAGATAGAAGTTAATGAGAATTCCAGGAACTCCTCTGTGACTTACAGAGAGAAGCATCCATTTCCATTTTTTCTCTGAGTGTGTATTCATACATCCTTCTTCGAATTCATAACTAGATTTCAATTCACATTAACATGGTCTCAGAGCCAGGTTTGATCATCTAAGCCTGGGCGTAAATCTGTGAAGTCACTGAGCTAAATTGAAGCTCACTCGAAGCTTAGTGAAGGTCGATGAAGTCCTGTTATCATCTGAGAAGAGAAATCAATTTATTCAAACCAAAGATGTCTGGATCTGGAGGCTCCGAAGTGAGAACTCCAACTTTCTCCGGTGAGAACTACGAGTTCTGGAGAATTAAGATGATAATGATCTTCAAATCTCTTGGGTTATGGAATTTGGTAGAAAAGGGGATTACAACCTCCGATTCGAAAAAGAAGAAAGTTGAAGGGTCATTGAAAGATGAAGTTGATGAGAAAATGACCGTTGTGTTCATGAAGGATGCGAAGGTTTTAGGAATCATACAAAATGCAATCTCTGACCAGATCTTCCCTCGGATTGCCAACGCTGATTCAGCCAAGATGGCATGCGATCTATTGTATGGAGAATACCATGGTGGTGATAAGGTTAGATCGGTAAAACTTCAAAATCTTAGACAGGAATTTGAATATGTTAGGATGCGAGATGATGAGTCTCTTTTTAGTTATCTTACAAGGCTGAATGAATTGATTAATCGGATGAAAACATTTGGTGAATCTCTTTCTAATGAGAGACTTGTGCAAAAGGTTCTGATTAGTCTAAGTAAACCTTATGATCCTATCTGTTTGGTCATAGAAAATACAAAATGTTTGCCAAGAACAACGATTTGATTTACACACTGTTGATACTACTAGGAAGGCATTTGCATCCTTCTCAATGAGTCCAAAAGGGCAAAATAGAAGTGGAGCTCAATCTGGTCCATCTAAATTCCAGAAGAATTAGAATTCTAAAGGCAAGAAATGGGATTCAAAACCCAAGTTTCAGCAGCAATTTCCTATTAGTCTTGCACAAGTTGCATATTCATCACAGTCAATGGGTCAGGAAGTTACAAAACCACATTATAGAGTGTGCTCTAACTTTCCCTTTGGTGAGTGTAGATATAAGGGGAAGCCTAAATGCTATAATTGCGAAAGGTTTGGACAATAGGCTAGAGAGTGCATTGCAGGTAAACCAGTGCAAAAGGCAAACAATGCTAATCAAGTATCAAGTAGAGGTGACAGGGAACCTGTTTTATGCAAACATCACAATTACTGAACCAAAGGTGATTGGAGAATGGTTTGTTGATAGTGGAAAATTGAGGGAGCTGGTGAGGGTTGCTTAAATACAAATGCAGATCATTTAATGCAATGAGGACTACAATGAAAACAGTCAGTGCAGGGTAAATAATGAGAGAGAGAGAGAGAGATGATGGTTATGTTATTGAAGGGGAAATAGATTTGGGTAAACCCTATAGCTTTGTTTACACCTATACATTTTCAAGCCGAATACACCAACAACGACTCGTTGCGTAAACACTCCACTCCTACATATCATTGCCAAACTGAGCTGACCTCATTGCTTTGGTTTTATTAGGACCAACAACGAGAGCAGACAAGCTCATCATCCAGGTCTGCTCGACTAAGTTGTGGTCACCACTTAAGGACCCGATGGCCTCATTACCTTGGGTTACTAAGATGGACAACCACAAGTAATAAGCTCGGACATTAGCCTCACACCACATGTTGAACAATTGAAGAGATGAGACTCACATGCGTTAGTGGATCCTACCTCTATTAGAGAGAGAGAGAAGTGGTACAAATGTGGTATGAAAATATGGCAAGAGTAGCATTACTCGTTTTATACAGGTTATCACTAGTTTACTATTATGTTTTATACCGTATTGATATCAACATTGAATATTGGATTACTTACATTTTACCCTTATAGTTTAGGGATATTTTCAAAGGAAGTTTAATTTTAACATTTTACTTTGGAAAGTGTTATTGGCACTTCAAAAATCTCATTCTACACTCTTCACAAGTGTATTTTTCTTTCTAAATATAGAAAGTTTGGAGCGTAGAATGAGAATTTTGGAGTGCTAATAACAATTTCCTTTACTTTTATGGTTTAAACTCATTACGCCGCTTAGTACTACGGTGTAATGTATCATCTTCACTTGTAAGTGAGAAGTTTTAGGTTCGATTCTTGTCAAAGGCGAATTTGAACCACATTATTGTCAGCCTGTTATGAGGCATAGCCCACTCCTTCACCCTTAGTATAGATAATATCGTTTATTCAAATAAAAAAACCACTCATAGCGCAATAGGTGAATAGGAAGCACCATGAAGTCTCCAAAATGAGTTATAAGGTATTAATCTAGAGATTTCTTGCAAGAAAAAGATTCTAATGTCATGGGGGACCTATATGTTTCTTGAGTCTCATGATTGTCCACCATTTCCTTGTTTATTTGTAAGCTTCATGGTGGGGTTGCAACTTGCAGGCCCTTTATTTTTGAAGGGATAAAGCATATCCTTTTGATTCTTCTCCACTTCCAAAGCTTCACATAATTATCAGTTGATTTCTACATACGGGCATTGATATTCGAGTGTAAATGGGCTAGCTTGTATTGGGTTTAAGAGGGTTTCCCTGGTGCACATGAGAATTATTTGGGCCGGGTTCGATGCTCTGAGCTGATGAATTTGCTTGACTGTGGCCACGGGCAGGATGAAATTCTCCATAACCTTCCCGTGCCCGAAAGAGGTGGATAATCATAGCTTACCACTAATTGTCCCCCTTTTTAAAGAAAAAATAAAAAGAAAATGTGAAACAGTTACGATTACGAAGCACACGATACCAGTAAAATATCATCCGATGCAAGACAACACAGTGAGACAAGTCTTAGATTGCCCAAACCAACCGAGTAGTATTCGTTTGTCACAAATGACTAAAAATTATGTCGCAATAACATAATCTAGAACCTTAAATGAACCTTAAGATGACTTGGCGTAAAGGCGGATGCCAAAAGCCAAACCCAAGATTGCAATGGGAACCAGGAACTGGAGAAGTTTGATGATAAACTCTGAAGTCTTGTCCTGATTGTAATTAGGCTGCTTCGGCGGAGTATATGTGGTACTTTTGGGGATAGTAGAGGCATCAATCTCTCCCACGTAGAAGTCCTTCAACATACCTCTGGCATTCTCGCTATGACCCACGTCCTCAAAATCATCAGTTGCATCCTTCCCTGGGAAAGTACATATAGCAACGTGAAGTTCTCTTCGTATTCAAAGAAAAGCATAAAGAGGCAAGAAACAGCATACACATATAATAGAAGATTTTCAATTGGGAAAATCACAAACATTGCAGATCTCTGCAGGCCGTTGATCATGCCGTTGATACAGTGAAGTCAACACGATTAACAAAGTTGAAGGGCTTGTTAATGAATATTACATGCATAAATATCACACATATAGTTTATTAGATCCCTCCTATTCCTCCTATTGCGGGATACTATAAGGCCGACCCTGCAGTGTGGTTCAACAATAAAAACAGTCTGTTTTATAAGTCTCCATTCAAGTGTCAACCTTGTAACGAATCAACTAAATGGTGAAATAGAGAATTATTTGATTATTTGATTATCAACACCACAATTCAGCGTTAACTGAAGCACTATGATCGTCTATTTATTTGATCACAATCAGATGTCTGTGCATCCAAAGGGGAATCAAGGATGATAACTGAATAAATGCTAGCAAAAATAGATGGTTCAGATGCTTGAAACACATTGAAAAGTGGCCAACAAAAGGTGACCTCTAAATAAGCTTACTAAAGGCTCAATTTGATCGGACTCTGTGTGTGAATGATTAACTCAAATGTTAAATGAAGTTTGTATATTGCTCGCTAATTCTTGATGAATTTAAAAATTAATTCTTAACGAGATTTCATTTAACATCATACCCGTTGCTGACACCAAAACATCATCACCACCAGGATGGTCCTCCAAGAACCTCGTCACATCATAAACCTGATCCAAAAAGAAGAAATTGGCGGTATTTAGATGATATAACTGGGGGAGAAAAGCAAGCACGCTATCTGTTTCATGCTAGGAAAAAGACAGAAATACCGAACACCTTGATAGTTTAGATCCTAGTTTGGTCATTCAATGTCTAGTGATAGTGTAAAACTATAAAAACTTCAAGCACACCTCTAGTTCCTAGAATGCACCTTTAACCAAAAGAGGAAATGATCAGAAGATATTGTCTTATATGTGAAAACAAGTAGAATTCTATACTGTAATCAGCTCGATGAGCTTAATTTTGCTTGATGACAGGAAGCATACTTCTATATGACCACACAGCAGCTAATTATTTTGGCCTTGTTCATCCATCTTCATGCCTACATCTGTCCAATAAAACATTATTCTTTTGCCTATAACAGCTATACGCAAAGTCAATTCTTCCTTCGCAAGTATCTATCTAAGCATCCTTAAACTGGATGTGTCTTAATCTTTGTAACAACAAAACAAAAACAACAAGAGAATCTCATCACTAAGCATGTCAACACATCAAAGATAGTGTTTCAAAACATACTCAAAGATTTGCAGAACAAGAGAAGGAGACGTTTCTATCCAAATCCTAAAGCTTAGTAAGACAAATACCAAATAAATTACTAAAGTGACAGTAAAAATATAGATACTATTATTGGAGTAAACTACAAACTACAAAGATATAAGAGGAACAAAATAGTATTCTAAATCAATGAGAAAGAGTTTCATAGGCACTTGACCTTTCTAAAGGACAAGGTAGGCATCAACTCCATGATGTCAATAAATTTTTCAAATCAAACTGCCAAAAGGGTTATGACTACCAACAGTCATCCCTGTTACCTACTTCAGCATAATGGTGGACTCTAAGCCCATCAGTCTCATGATGTTGAATAGATTGGAAGAGAGCATAGTACTTCTTCCAGGGATTTCAAAATCCCCAAACTCCCAGACTTCCTGAATTACTTAAAGAGATGCGTAAAATTTAAGCTTCATGATGTTCGGTACATTAGACTCCAAAAAGAACTTCGGAAGAAAAAGCCACAAATGAAATGCTTCCATTTGTCGATGAAACAGACCTCTTTGTTTGATAAAAAATACAAAACATTTAAAAATGAAAAAACAGTACCAACAATGGTGAACAAGCTTTCCACTTCTAAGAAAACAGGCATCTGCTGATATACCTTCAGTAATTCCTTCACAAGCGAACCAAACCTTTTGCCACCATAAACACTTAACTTATCAAAACCCCAATCTTGAAGACTTAAAGCCAAAGTATGAAGTTCAATCAAACCCACACATATTGAACGATGGCATTTAAAAACAGGCTATTCCCTCAATTTTTCAAGGTCTAGTGCACATTTTAGAGTACACTACCTCTTACGTACATGGTTAGTGCTTAACAGGACACTATATTATGCAATTATGCCATGTACTTCCATACTTTCTAAACCTCATAGAGAAGTAAATAAGTCCAACGTATTTACTAGGCACATCATTAGTCTCAAAATACAGTTACCAGATAGAACATTGATTATATTGTTGATTCTTCTAATTTATGGCATTCTAGGCTAGGACATGTAAATTTTTATTCTCTTTTTAGAATGCATAATTTAGGCTTGTTGCCTAAACTTGATTATTTAAATAATATTAAATATGAGACTTGTGCAGAATTGAAATTTGCAAGTCAAAGCTTTAAATCAGTGCATGAAAAATCCAATGATTTGTTAGATTTAATTCATAGCCAACTCATGGTGGAAAGAACTATTATGTAACATTTATAGATGATTTCAGTACGTATTGTTATGTTTATTTACTTCATAGTAAAGATGAGACCTTGGATATGTTTAAGACATATAAGGCAGAAGTTGAGAATCAATTTAACAAAAAGATTAAAGTCTTAAGGTCCGATAGGGGAGGAGAATATGAGTCTTATGCATTTGATGAATTCTGTGCCACACATGGCATAATTCATCAAACAACAACCCCTTATACACCGCAACAAAACGGTGTTGCCGAACGGAAAAATAGGACTTTTAAAGACATGATCAATTCTATGTTGAATAGCTTTGGGCTTCCACACAATTTGTGAGGGAAGCTTTACTTACTGCAAATAAAATTTTGAATCGAATTCCACTTAAAATGAGAAAGGAGTCACCATATGAATTATGGAAAGGAAGAACCCCAACGTTTAAATTGCTTAAAGTGTGGGGTTGCCTGGCAAAAGTACAAGTTCCATTGCCAAAGAGAACAAAAATAGGGCCTAAAACTATAGATTGTGTTTTTATTAGTTTTGCATCTAATAGTTCAGCTTATAGATTCTTAGTTTTCCATTCCAAAGTGATATACATGTCAAAACTATTATAGAATCTATAAATGCAAAATTTTTTGAGGATATACTTCCATACAAAATGGGCAAGTCTAACTTCTTGAAAAAGAGATTATATGATGATGTATCTGAGGTTAATGAGGAACCTAGAGAACATGATGATGGTTCATCCTCATCTAGAGTTTAAGAAGAACTTGAACCTACAAGGAGTAAAAGGACAAAAATTTGAAAGGACTTTGGGCTTGATTTTGTGACCTTATTAACCGAGACAGAACCTCAATCATTCAAGGAGGCCATGTCCACTCCTGAAGCTCCATTTTGGAAGGATGCAATTAAAAGTGAAATAGATTCCATTATGCAAAATCATACATGGGAATTAGTCGATTTGCCCCCTGGCAATAAGTCAATTGGGTACATGGATCTTTAAGAAGAAATTAAAACCTGATGGTACAATTGACAAATATAAGGCTTGTTTGGTAGCTAAAGGATACCGTCAAAAACATGGTTTGGATTTCTTTGATACATACTTGCCTGTAACTAGAATTACGTCAATAAGACTGTTGATTGCTATACTTGCACTCCATAACATGGAAATACATCAAATGGATGTAAAGACTACGTTCTTAAATGGAGACTTAGATGAGGAAATATATATGGAACAACTCACGGGGTTTGTGGTTAAAGGTCAAGAACACAAAGTTTGTAACCTTGTGAAATCGCTATATGCGCTTAAACAAGCTCCAAAGCAATGACATGAAAAATTTGACCATATTATGATCACACGTGGTTTTAAGATAAATGAGTGTGATAAGTGTGTCTACACAAAAACTCAAAATAATGCTTGCATTATGTTGTGTTTATATGTAGATGATATGCTTATAATGGGAACTAACAAAGAGATAATAAATTGGACCAAGAAGATATTGAAATCAAGTTTCGATATGAAAGATCTTGGTCTAGCTGATGTGATTCTTAGTAAAAAATCAAAAGAAACCAAGAAGGTTATATTCTTACCAATCCCATTATATAGAAGCTACACTTAGAAAATATGGTCATTGGAGTAAGATGCAGATTACTCCTTTTGATGCCAATTAGCAAACTAAAGAAAAATAGTGGTGATGTTATATCTCAACGTGAATGTTCACAAGTTATTGGAAGCCTTACGTACATTATGAACTGTACAAGGCCTGATATAGCATACTCAGTGAGTAGACTGAGTAAATATACATGCAATCCTGGGCATGATCATTAGGAAGCCTTAATTCGAGTATTGAGATACTTAAAGCATACAATGAATTATGGATTGCATTATACGAAGTATCCTCCTATGCTTGAAGGATTTACTGATGCAAATTGGATATCCGATAGTACTGATACAAAATCCACGAGTGGATATGTATTTACTTTGGGAGGAGCAGCAATATCTTGGAAATCTTCCAAACAAACATGCATAGCCCGATCAACGATGGAATCAGAATTTATAACTCTCAATAAAGCTGGAGAAGGAGCTGAGTGGCTAAGAGATTTTTTGGAAGATGTTCCCATATGGCCTAAACCTGTAACGGCAATATGCATACACTGTGATAGTTTAGTTGCATAATATCGAGCTAAAAATAGTGTATACAATGGGAAGTCTAGACAAATTAGACAAAGGCATAATACAATAAAGTTATGGCTTTCTAATGGTGTAATTTCTATTGACTATATCAAGTCAAAAGATAATATTACAAATCCGCTTACTAAAGGTTTATCTAGAGAGCAAGTTAAACATACATCGAAGGGAATGGATTTAAAGCCAATAGAGTAAAATGAAATTGCCAAACGGAAACCTAGCCTAGCTTATTGGAGATCCCATGATCTAGGTTCAATAGGCAAATTGGTTTGGCTAGTTTCAAAGAAGAAACACACGTATATACCCATTCCTATGATGGAACAAGTGTGGTGATTGCTGATGGGTGTCGAATACATTAATTTAATGATATTGATACTTGTAAATCAAGTGGAATAGAAGCAGCCTATTCTTAATCAATATCACCTATATGAGAGTAAATGTCGGGTCGCATTTATGAGAATTACATGGCAACATTCTCTAAAGCTCTCATGAATCCAGGATTTGTTCAGGACCAAAATGAACACAAATGTATGAATTTGCGATGTGTTGGTGTGACATATGTTTTGCTTATTGTCTTGGTTTACTGCATAGATGAACAGTTCAAGATTTTATATTCATTGCGTCATTTAGTAAATCTGATAAATATATACTAAGGTAGGTTCAAATCCAAAAGACACCTCACCTGATTTGTGTCACATCTATTGTTTACACTCATTTTTCACCTTACCCTAGGACCTAATAGTCGGCTCAAAATGTGGTGTATTGTAGGAGTTTTGAGCTCCTTTAAGTCCCACATCGGGGAACTCAAGGCAACTTGAGGTCCTTATATTGCTTTAGTCTCATTTATTAGTGATTAGGTGTTGGACTATTTGGAATGGGGATTGAGACTTGGGCCACTAATTGTGTGGATTATACTTGATGATTATACCATAATATTAATATAAATTAATATTAATTAATCAATAAAAGGGTCTTGGGCCTTGGGGCCTAAGAATTAAAATTAATCTGATCAATTAGTTTTAATTTCGAATTAAGTTTTTAATTAAAATTAATTAAAAACGTTTTGATTAATAGACACAACTCTTTGGAAAGAGTTGTATAGCTTCAGATACATCCAAAAGGTATTTGAAGAGGTATGAAAGATCCAATAAAATTGGAGTCCTTAGTTCCATCGAATATTATATTTTCTTCCTTCTCCTCCATACAAACATTTAAGAGAGTAAACACACAAAGCAATTCGCTAGAATTCTATAATCCAATGCGGGTTGTAGAATTAGGTAGTTGTATCCTGGTTGAGCAGACGTTGTAGAACCACAAGCACAAGAGTTGGGCGAAAATACTGTTCAAAGGACATAACTTTTGCACTAACCTCTACCTGCTATAATCAAGTTTGTACCATTTTGTTCTTGTATTTGTTTCTGTAATTTCATTTTGTATAGCAAGTATTTTTAGTTAATAAAGTATTAGAATTTCAAGTTCTGTTATTTTTATTTATTTCTGAATTATCCTCCAACATTTTATATTTTCTTTAAATCAGGTTGTCCCATATCCAGATTCCTATGCCATACAGTCTTGGTCGAATCACTAGCAACCAAATTGCAAATGCAACCATTTAGTAGTATGCTTTACAGAAACACATCCATGTGAATTTATATCTAAAGATCATAGTGGACCAATCCATCAGGGCCCCTAAACATAAGTCATCAATTGCACCATCAGCAAGCCATAAACATAATCAGCTCAACCAAAGTTTTGTGGTATGAAATTAACCGAAACGTCGTCAAGATTTACATTATGGGCATGAATTTTAACATGCATAGCAACAGATTCTTCTTCACCAAAGCAAAAAAAAAACAACAGATTCTTCAGGTGGGTTTATTTAAAAAAAATAAATAATAATAATAATAAAAAAATAAAAATTAAAAAAAACCCAAGATCCATGATTCTAACAGGGAACCCAATTGTCAATTTTCATCATATGTATGATTAAACTCGCAGCCAAAGAATTCAAATTCCCAATCCTTAGTGAATCAAAGCCTTCAAATATAATATAAAGACATAGAATACAATCCAAGAAGCAAGTAAGATGATTGGATTTCATATCATAGGGTGAAAAATGGGAAAAGGGAGAACCTTGCCGCTGATGATTAGCCAGCAGTCCTTGGGGGTGTTGTGCTCGGAGACTTGAGCCAAAGTGAAAACCTTTCCGTCACCACCCATTTGCTTTTCTTGGTATCTCCGCTGCGTACTGATGAAGGAGGCAATGCAGGTGGAAAATTGATGGAGCTGGTGAGGGTTGCTTAAATACAAATGTAGATCATTTAATGCGGGGAGGACTACCAGGAAAACAGTCAGTGTAGGGTAAATAATGAGAGAGCGAGAGGACGGTTAGGTTATTGAAGGGGAAATAGATTTGGGTAGGTAGCGAACTGGTGATTCGACCTGGTGATTTTCAAAGATTAAAGGGCATTGTTTGGTTGGTTGGTAGCGAACCTGGTGAATTTCGTAGAAAGTTCGGTCCCTGAACTGGTGATTTTGGTGGTGGAAAGTTTGGTCCGTTTTGTTGTCTATTTCCACGTTTTTTCTAATTATGTTGCGTCTTGCAATCCTAAGAGCATTCCATCAGTTAGTAGTCCACCGTCCACCCGTTTGGCAAGAACAAGGCAAGGGCAATGGCAAACGCTATTCGCAAATATTTATTTTTTATTTTGTATGCTTTGTTGGTCTTATCTAGTGGAATCACAAACCAAATAACACTCCCACTAAACACAACACGTAATCACCGCTTTCTTCTAAACTTTCTACTAATAAGAAGTAATTTCGACCATGGATTGAGCATGAATTGTTTACACATTAGACTTTGGGCATTAATTTTGATCATGTTCAACGTGATGGAGCAAAGAAGATTGGAGAGCATTGTCAACTTTGGTTTGGAAGAGCAACTCTGGATTGGAAGTTGGTATAGCAACTTCGGGCATTGTCTACGAGTCCCACCTCGGCCATAAATACCAAAACATCTTTATATATAAAGTCAGGGACCCAATTAACAGTGTTTTTTTGTATCGCAAGCTTCACTAAAAATCATTAGACAAAAATGCCCCTTAAACAAAAAACTTCAAAAGCAATCCAAAATGATACATCAAATGTGGCAGGAGTATTTTCATCATTTTAACAATGTTTTTTTTTAATAATTAATTTATTTTGTACAGTTTATTTATTTATAATAATTAGTATCTCACAATAAACTTAGAATAATATGATTCAATTAATTTTTCATTAAATATTGTTTTTTTCTATTTTTAAACAAGTTCAAAACACTCTAAGAACAAGTCCATCCGTTTTAGGGAGCAAAAGTAAGGACAATGCAATTTATTGTCTTACTATTCTCACTCTTAAATATTTTTACCGTTAAATTAATTATGATTGTTGTTCACTGTTGGATGGCCCAGATTGTGCCGCATGACATATTGAAAGAGTTTTGAAATCCAACGGTTGTCAACCCAAGGGGAACGAGTTGTCGGCTCAGTTAGGTGCACATGGGTGGGCCTGGGCTTCTATTTCGTGACGTCATTGCTGACGCCAGCCACTGCCAGCAGGCTCAAGCCCGACAGTTTATGTCTAGGCAGCCAACGGGCTCCTGCCCTTGCGCCGATTGCCTCCCCGTTTTTGGACCTGCTGGAACGCCATTTTTTAGGCCGACGGAAATTTAACCAAGTGGGCTACCGCTGGACTTGCTCAAGTAAAATGATCTGCAACACTACAATTATAATAATTTTCCCCGTCTTTTCACTAGTTATAATAATAAATAACCAATTTATGGTTACATTTACTACGGTAAAACACAATCTGCAATGTGACTTTTTTTTTTTTTTTTTTGGTCAATCGAAGTAAGTTTTATTAAAACAAAGATGAGAATCATAAAATAAAAGAATCTAAAACAGCCAAGCAAAGCCAACTTCACATAAATAAATTACATGAATAGACCTAAAAGAGGCAAGCCATAGTAACGCGAAAGCATAAAAACCAAGAATTGAAAAAAGCAAACAGTCGCCTCCACCATATCAGCTGCCACCACCTAGAGACAAACAAACGAACCAAATGGATCAATAGAAAATGGAGGTATATGGTAGTGCAAAAAGCAATGAACCAACAAATCATAATCCTACCAAATAGTGGAAAAAGCACTTTAAAAGCTACTAACCACCGAAGAGCGCTGCAGATAAGATCCATGAAGGAAACTTCCATAGAGTTGAGTAGTAGAGGTAGATGGTAAAGGACATGCAGTGAAAATGATATTTGAAGAGGAAAATGGCAGATCTGAGACAAGTTCAAGTGGACTGAAGCAGAGTTTCAAGAACACTGAGATAGAAGCTTAGATCAAATGCAACCGAGAAAAATAGACATAAAAAGGTTAAAAAAAATGTTGGGAAAAGAGAGAAGACTGAAAATTGAAAGGATTTGGCTGCTACCGACCCAACCGAAGAGGGTTGGCTATTGAGAATGACTATTATAGGGTTGGCCAGGAATGGGAGAGCTTTTAGGAAGGCCGACCCCAGGTTCCAATTTTATTAGCCAAGATTGTGCCATGTGACATATTTGTATCCAATAAAATGTGAGATGAATTTGGGAACCAAAATTTGCCCAACGGTTCTGAAAAGCCTGAAACTATTTAAAAATTCAATTAATGTCTTCTTGACATTTTGATTAATGGAGTATGATTTTCTCCGCTCATAATCTCTCTCCTCTTTCATTTTCTTTTATTTAAACGGTTGCGATTATACCACATCTACATTATCTACATTTTGTTTTGAATTTTTTATATAGAGATTTCTCCCCTTCTAATCTATCTCCCATTCCATCTCCTTTTATTTAAACGGTTGCGATTACACCATGTCTACATCTTGTTTTGAATTTTTTATATAGAGAAATATGACCCTCTAGTTAATCAAATATCCATCATATACTATTATACCTATTTATTAGCATTATCGGTAGTCTAATTTTTTTTTTTTTTTGGGTCAAATAATAGATTTTGTTAAATTAGATGTTAGATTAGCTATCAATAAAATTTGAAACCACTATGTCATGCAAGGGCTCAATAACTTTTTACTACTATGATAAAGGGTCACTTGCCATTATCGAGGTAATCTATTACACTGTGTTTGGATGAATAAATTTAAGATAAAAGAAATTTGAAAATGATGGAAATTGAAATGTCGAGATTTTATTTTCTAAAGTTTGTGAATTTTCTTGTTTGGTTAATCTAAAAGAATAGTGAAATTGAATACGGAATTTGTTATTTTAAACTCTCAATCATAGAAATTGGGAAATGACACATATTTACATAGAATTTAAACTTGAAAATTAGAGGTTTCAAATTCTAAGTTTTTTTCGATGCGGAAATTCTGAACTTCTATATTTATGAATCCAAACAAAGGAATTAGTGTATGTCAATTTATAAATTTTAACTTTTATCCAAATTTCAAGTTCATTTTTCTCGTCCAAACATAGTGTTAGATTCTGATTGGCGAGAGAGTAAGGTGTGTAGGGTTTCATAATTTGAAAAATTGTTTTCAGTAAAATCGAATCCAACTTGAAAAGTAATTAGAATCCGGCTGGTCCATTGTTATTTGTAATAACTATGTAAAAGTATTTCTGACTTGTTGGGTAAGCATACTCCTACTAAACCTCGAGAGACTAAAGAAGAACAAAGCAAATTCCCAATCACAAACCAGAACTCTACCACTCTCTCTCTCTCTCTCTCTCTCTTTATTATATTATTTTTCTACTGGGGTGCTGCTAGGGTTTCGAATCCACTTTCCGCAAATCGGAACCCAAATCCTCCCGATCCCAATTCGAACGAACCCTAGGGCTCGTGTAAGCGGTCGGTGTCGGTGCAGCTATGGCGACCTTGGTGAGCTCCGCCGGTGGGCTACTGGCTATGCTGAATGAGACCCATCCCTTGCTCAAGCTCCACGCGTTGTCCAACCTCAACAGATTGGTTGACGGCTTTTGGCCCGAGATCTCGACTAGCGTAACCATCATGTACTTTCTCTCTTTCACCCTCTGTATTCGTTGAATTTCCGGGATTAGGGTTTGCATTTTGCTTGTTCTTCATCTGTTTGACAGGTTAGAAACTTAGGGAAGCAATTTTTGAAACTTAAGCCAAAATTGGGGAAGATTTGCTTTTGTATTATTTTCTTGAGAATTGAGTAATCAATGACGTGAAAGATTTGATATTTCGTGAAATTTTGTATACTTGTTATCATCAAAAGAGGGTTTCTTTTCTTGTGCAGTTAAGAAAATTATGCAGTTAAGAAAATTAGGGTCTTATGGGTTTATCTGTTGGAGATCAGCAAATGTTTTTTTGGGTGGTGATGGAATTGAGTGGTGTGTAGGTTATAGTAATTGATCATTCGGTGGTGAAGGTGATGACAGTATATAATCCAATAAGAAAGCAGATACGGAGTTGTCATGATGGGGAGTTGACTGTATTTCACTAATTGTGGTGGTGAATAAGAATGTGGATGAGGGTTTTGGTATTTTGAAGCCCTGATTATACTATATTTAGGACTTAATAGAAATATGAACTGTTTAGTTTTCCGTTTTGCAACTCAGTTTTCAAACATTACTGTCGAAGTAGTTAAGAGAAAGCTTAGTACTGGGGACGTATTAACTGGGTTACGCTAGTGCCTTGTCAACTTTTGGTTATGTGTCTTGTCATTGCATGTTGGTTCTAGTGTTAGTGTGCTTCTATAACCTTAGTCATGCTTATGAGATTTTGGAAATGTTGCAACAATTAAATTTTGTAGTTTATCTTTTGTATTTTTTTCCTTTATTTGTTTCTTTTCTGAGTAATGTTGTTGTGCAGAGAAAGTTTGTATGAAGATGAGGAGTTTGATCTGCATCAGAGACAACTGGCTGCATTGCTTGTGTCAAAGGTAAAAATTAACTGTTCTGCTTCCTTGATTATTTGTTTCAAACTAGTGTGTGACAGACAAGATTGATTGTTACTTTCTGAATTTACTTGCGAGTTGCATCCAAAGGACTCAACTTGATTGAAAATAAATACTTGGAAGTTAAGAACCATTAGTAAACGAGAAATTTTAAATAATTACATGTGAATATGATCAGTAGGCGTTCAAATCTGTGTCTCTCTTCATCCTCTTGTGAGGGAAGATTGCATATTTCATTGAATGTGTAAGTTTTACTACCTTATATTTTCCTTACTTGACTTATGTTTTTTCTCACCTAGGTTTTCTACTATTTGGGTGAACTTAATGACTCACTTTCCTATGCCCTTGGAGCTGGTTCCTTGTTTGATGTGTCGGACGATTCTTATTATGTTCATACTCTTCTTGGTAAGAATGTTTCTATGTTTTTTTTACTTGTACGAGAGAGAGAATATGAAACTTAGAGGCGTTAAAACATACAATTTTACTTCTCATCTATATAAGGAAATTTGAGAAGGTATAATCTGACTGCATTTACATGAACTTTGTCGTGGTTTGCTCCTCTCTTCAGCCAAAGCTATAGATGAGTATGCCAGTCTGAAGTCAAAGGCAGCAGAATCCAATGCTGAATCAGTAAATGTGGATTCTAGGTTGGAGGCCATTGTGGAGAGAATGCTGAACAAGTATGCAGCCCTCTAATGATTTTAAATGCAATAATTGTTACCTTTAGCTTTCTTACCCTTTTTTCCTTTCTATTTAGGTGCATCATGGATGGAAAATACCAACAAGCTATGGGTATTGCAATTGAATGTCGAAGATTGGATAAGCTTGAGGAAGCAATCATAAAAAGTGATAATGTTCAAGGAACATTGTCATATTGCATTCATGTCTCTCATTCCTTTGTTAATCTTAGAGAATATAGACACGAGGTAAGGTTTTTCCTATGCACTGATGATACATTATTAGCATCTATGCTGTAAATACATTTGACTTGGTATCTCTTTCTTTTACCACCAAATTATTGCTAGTATGATGTTTCTGTTGTGTATGTGGTCTGTATCAAGTATACCGTCTGTATCAAGTATACTGTTTAGGAATATGCAGTGATACATAAATCATTTTCTTGTTAGTTCCTGTTATAGAAGTATGTTGGTGCAATAAACTACATAGCTTCAATGTGTTCTTACACTTTCACAATGTAGTTAGGTTTCTCTTTCATAGTCATTTAAGGTGCGATAACATATAGGTCTTAGAGTTTGTGAAGTTATTTAAAATGGCAGAAAAGCTGCATTCAGAGTGCTAGTTTTTTTTTTTTTTTTTTTTTTTTTATAATGGTGGTATGGGTATTTGAGTTGAAGGTCGAGGTGTTTTGAGTGAAAGGAAATGCTCATTGTGAGAATTGTAACATATTTTCTATATGTGGGGAGAAGTAAACTCTTTTGAACTAATTGTAGCACACGTGGAACCTGTATTTTGATATCATTTTTGATGTTGTTGGCTGGATAAGTAACATTAGGTTTACGTATTTGTCTAACTTTTTATACTGCATGCTCCAACACCTTTGGTTGTGTCTAATGCGGTTAAGATTGTCTCCCTAATGGTAATCTTAAATTTTGTCGTTTATGGCGATTTATTATATAATAATTTTAATTGAAATACAAAAAACCAGCCTAGGTCCCGTCCTTTCAATTCTGATTATGTTTTGACAATTTCCTGTGGAATTAGGATTAGGGTATTGCAGCAGTTATAGAGTTTATTTCACTTGGTAGTGGACTACTTGTTCAACTGTTTTTGCCCCTTAGTAAAGACTAAAGAGTTGTCTATCTTAAGTCATGCCTTGTGCTAATTTTGTTTATCATGTAGAGCGACAAACATTTGAACTCGTTTGGGTCTTTGTACAGGTCCTTCGTCTTCTTGTCAAAGTGTATCAGAAGCTACCTTCTCCTGATTACTTGAGCATTTGCCAGTGTCTCATGTTCCTGGATGAACCAGAAGGTGTAGCGAACATATTGGAAAGGCTTCTGCGATCTGAAGACAAGGATGATGCACTTTTGGCATATCAAATAGCCTTTGATCTAATAGAGAATGAGCACCAAGCTTTTCTCTTAAATGTGAGAAACCGCCTTTCACCTCCGAAGACTCAACCTTCAGAACCCGTGCAGCCAGAATCAACTGAAGCTTCTCAAAATGAAAGTTCTGCTGCAGAGGATGTTCAAATGACAGATGAACATTCTACTCCTAATGTGACTGTGAATGAAGATCCGAAAGAAGTGGTCTATTCAGAAAGGCTGACAAAAATTAAAGGAATTTTGTCTGGAGAAACGTCAATACAGTTGACTTTACAATTTTTGTACAGTCACAACAAGTGAGGCTGCTATATTATTCCTTGAATTTTTTTATTTCATTAATTTACGAAGTAGTTATGGAATACAGTGATTGAGAAGTGGTTTGACCGTTTTTGTGATTTGCATATAGGTCCGATCTTCTTATTTTGAAGACAATAAAGCAGTCAGTTGAGATGAGAAATAGTGTATGCCATAGTGCTACAATTTATGCTAATGCAATTATGCATGCTGGAACAACCGTGGACACGTTCCTGAGGGAGAATCTGGTAAGCCAGATATCTCAGCTTTTCCTTTATATCTTTTGCAATGATATATTTTCTATGAGTATTGACCACTTCTGTTCTACAAATTCTCAGGACTGGTTAAGTAGAGCTACAAATTGGGCTAAGTTCAGTGCAACAGCAGGGCTAGGTGTTATCCACAGAGGCCACTTGCAGCAGGGAAGATCGCTGATGGCACCTTACTTACCTCAGGGTTCAGCAGGCGGTGGTGGAAGTCCATATTCAGAAGGTGGTGCTCTGTATGCTCTGGGTCTGATTCATGCCAACCATGGCGAGGGCATCAAACAATTCCTTCGTGATAGCCTGCGTAGTACTAATGTGGAGGTGTGCATTATATGTACTAGTGTTTATATTTTTTTGTGCACATAAGTACATTGCTAAAATTTTCTAATGGGACCTTTTAATGCAGGTTATTCAACATGGTGCATGCTTAGGTCTTGGCTTGTCAGCTTTAGGAACTGCTGATGAAGAGATCTATGATGACATTAAAAGTGCGCTATATACTGACAGTGCCGTTGCTGGTGAAGCTGCTGGGATTAGTATGGGTTTGCTTATGGTTGGAACTGCAAGTGAGAAGGCTAGTGAAATGCTTGCCTATGCACATGAGACACAGCATGAAAAGATTATCAGGTATAGATCATTAAGTGGTTAGTTTTTTACTTGTGTGCTCTTGTGGAGTTCTTGTGATAAAATAAAATAAATGAAGAATTATTTATCGATGAAAGTGATCTGTGGTCTGCGCTGACTCTGTACTGTATGTTATAGAGGGTTAGCGTTGGGGATTGCTCTGACGGTATATGGGAGAGAAGAAGAAGCTGACACTCTAATCGAGCAGATGACAAGAGATCAAGATCCTATTCTACGTTATGGTGGCATGTATGCACTGGCGTTGGCCTACAGTGGGACAGCAAACAACAAAGCCATCCGTCAGCTACTGCATTTTGCTGTATCAGATGTGAGTGATGATGTTAGGAGGACTGCTGTTCTAGCACTTGGGTTTGTCTTGTACTCCGAGCCAGAGCAGGTTTGTACTTTCTTGTTTTTCCATATTTATGTTTCTGATATTGCATCATTTGCTGATGCCCTTTTTTACTTTTCTATTGATCTAACAAATACCTTATATGTCTAAATTGCATTGGTAATTGTAGACACCTCGAATTGTCTCCCTGCTTTCTGAGTCCTACAATCCTCATGTTCGATATGGTGCTGCTCTTGCCGTAGGCATTTCTTGTGCTGGTACTGGCTTGAGTGAGGCCATTTCTTTGCTAGAGCCGCTAACTTCAGATGTGGTTGATTTTGTGCGCCAAGGTGCCCTCATTGCAATGGCGATGGTCATGGTCCAAATTAGTGAAGCCAGTGATTCTCGCGTTGGAGCATTCAGGTACTGTCTTTGTAAAATTGCCACTTTTCGCAACTCTATCTCTCTCTCTCTCTCTCTCATCTCATATTGGAACAATTTTTGTCTAGGCGGCAATTGGAGAAAATAATTCTTGACAAGCATGAGGACACCATGAGTAAAATGGGTGCAATCTTGGCCTCTGGGATTCTTGATGGTGGGGGAAGAAATGTGACGATTAGACTGCTTTCCAAGACGAAACATGATAAAGTTACTGCAGTTGTTGGCCTTGCTGTTTTCAGCCAATTTTGGTACTGGTATCCCCTTATATACTTTTTAAGCTTGTCATTCTCACCAACGGCTTTGATAGGACTGAACTCAGACCTGAAAGTTCCGAAGTTTGAGTTCCTTTCACATGCAAAGCCTTCACTGTTTGAATATCCTAAACCCACCACTGTGCCAACCACTACGTCGGCCATAAAACTGCCCACTGCTGTGCTGTCAACATCTGCAAAGGCCACGAAAGCTAGGGCCAAGAAAGAAGCAGAGAAGGCAAATGCTGAAAAATTATCTGGGGCGGAGACTTCTGGAAAAGGAAAATCATCAAGTGAGAAAGATGGGGATGCAATGCAGGTAAGCAGTATGGGCATAATGCTCCAATGCCATCTTTTTTTCTTCTTCCTCCCTTCCCAATACAGTCCATAGTTTATGACATCATAACTGTTCTTAATCGAAACCACTTTATTCTCTTTGGCAGGTTGATAGCTCGACAGAGAAGAAATCAGAGCCTGAGCCTTGTTTTGAGATTTTGACGAACCCAGCTAGGGTGGTTCCTGCTCAGGAGCAATACATTAAATTTCTGGAAGATAGCCGATATGTGCCAGTCAAGTTAGCACCATCTGGATTTGTTCTCTTGAGAGACCTGAAACCGGATGAACCTGAGGTGCTTTCACTTACAGACACACCGTCTTCCACAGCATCACCTGCGGTGGAGCAGCAGCAGGACAGCCGGCAGCCACTGCCGCCATGGCAGTCGATGAGGAACCACAGCCTCCTCAAGCCTTTGAATACACTGCATGATTCTCGGTTCAGTAAGTCGGACTGGTATTCTGAATATTCCGCGGGTATTGTTAACTAGATTGTTTTACTTTCCGGCGAAAATGTTGAATTTTCATTTTCATGTGATTTCATGAGTTATGAATTCGCTGGTCATCAACGGTGATACTGTGGTTGTCTGAACGAAATTTCACATTGCATCGGAGTCATGAATGCTTATCGCTTCTGTTTGTTGCTTTATCGATAAATATTTTCGTTAATCGGTCAGTTATACCATGTTGTAATTTCGCTTTAACTTGGAAGTATTGAAGGCTTTGATGCCGCCTAGCAACAAACAACCTGGATTACACCGTGAAGATGAACGGATGATCAAACTTGTTTCCAATAGTTAAAAGAAAGGAAACAAAATCAAATTTGCACCGCCGACTTAACTACGTAAGGAGCTGAGTCCATGTGGTGTTGGCTTTCGGTTTGCCACTTTGATTGCGAAAACCCACCTCCTCGGCTTCCTTCTATTAATGTAAAGAGAGAATTGGATCACAATAATATGTAGGGGTGGATTTGGTTTTTTTTTCAAATTATTGTGCCAACTGAGTTACCAACCTTAACAAATTGATTTTATGCCAATTGATAATGATACGGTATTGTTCTTAACCCAAATTTTATGGTACAGTATTGGTATTTGATACCATTACTGACGGTATTAGGTACCGCACTAAAAATATATAAATATATATTATATAATTTATATTTATAACATCTATAATATTTTAATAATATTAAATGGTATCAACTTAAATTCTTTTTCTAGATACTACTAATATGTTTAATGGGTAAAAAATATTGATTTGCTGGCCTGGACTTAGCTAGGGTGATTAGAGTAATGTATTTCTCCTTAAACACCTAAGTCTATCACCTTCCCTTATAATTTAGTTGAATATGTGGCATATAATGAACTTTGTTAACAATAAAAAAGGACAAAAGAGAATTGATTTACGTACAACCTCTTTTTTCTTCAGTTAAAAAATAGAATAAAAAAAATCAATAATAAAATAATGGGGTATGTTAATTGGACATTTGGGCACTCTAATGAGTTACCATTCCATTGCTGTCGTCACTTGAATGGGAGCAGAAATCACATAACCGATTTTATCGATCAAATGTAAGAAATTTGGCAATGTACAATTTTTCATTACTGATAATATGCCATCAATTAAATCATTACGAAATTATATGCAGTTTAGTTAAAGTAATAGATTTATTTTGAGTATTTCTTTAAGACAATATTACAAATGATATATGAAAAATATGGTACAAATGTGATATGAATAATATAATAAGAGTTTCATTTTTGTTTCTTTAATTGTATTTTCAGAAAAGTGAGTTTAAGATTAGAAAAAGAAGAATAAGGTCTCGTGAATCTTGTTGGTAGGTTAATATATATCTCTTTGAAAAGTTGTAAAGTTGAAATGATGAAATTAATCTTTGACAAAGCGCTCAGCCTTAATATTGGTCATGGGGAGAGTATACCACTGGCGCTAGCTCGTGTCCTGTGACACCCATAAATTAAAGAAGGCCGTGAAAGTGAGGTGAAACTGTGACAACAATATTAATCCTACAAGGCTCCTCCTTCTCCCTCTCTCTCTCTCTCTCTCTCTCTCTCTCTCTCTCTCTCTCTCTCTCTCTCTCTCTCTCTATATATATATATATATATATACAGACGACGACATAACTGAACCACGTAGCCAAACCTCAACATTTCAAGTTCTTCTTTCTTCTCAAAACAGGTGGGTGTTTTGTTGGGGTCCAGTTCCTCGTCATAGATAAATTTGTACAGATACTAAATCTTCATGATTATTGTTATCAAACTTTGTCACTATCTTCAAGCAATTGATTTTTTTTACAGTTTGTAATTTCATGCATTATTTATCACCTTTTTCAGGTAGGGTAATATGTCCGCGCACGAAATCAGCTCCTGGCCCTAGCTAGGGTTTTCGAGTTTTACTGGGTCATCAAATATTTATATATGGAGAAGGAAGAGAACAACTATTCGGTACAAAATTAATCTCACACTGCTTAATTATCATCACTTCAGTTCATCACCATGTTGTTTTTTTGCTCTGACGACTTTGAAACATTGCAGGCTTTTATGCCACCTAGCAACTTCAACAACCTGGATTACACCCTAGATCATCATCAAGAAGATCAACAGATGCTGAAGTCTCGCATCGACGAGACTAATTCAAGCGATAACAACAATGGAATGGTGAATTACTTGATGTACAATCATCATCAACTACAACAACAACAGCAGCAGCAGCAGCAGCAGCAAATAAGCACGCAATTAGCTCCATGCAGGGTTTTGTGGTTCAACTAGTACTTCTTTTGACAAACTGAGCTTCGCCGATGTGATGCAGTTTGCCGATTTTGGACAAAAGTTGGCCTTAAACCAATCCAAGATTTCGGAGGAAGAGCCTGCGATTGACCCTGTTTACTTCCTCAAGTTTCCGGTGTTGAATGACAAGTTGGACAACAATCAAGACCAGTCGATCTCTCTCATGGTTCCACAAGCTGAAGAGAGATTCACAGGGTTGGGTGAAGAAGACAAGACAAAGTCAATGGAAGAAGAACAAGACGAGGAAGGTCGGGTTTCTGGTAGTAATAATTCAGTGCAGAAGCTCCACTTTCTTGGAGAAGATCATCAAAACAACCCTAGAGGAGGAGGAGTACAACCGGAGCCGGCAGCAGCCAAGAACAAAAGAAAAAGACCACGAACTACCAAGACGACTCAAGAAGTTGAGAGCCAGCGGATGACTCATATTGCGGTTGAAAGAAACCGCAGGAAGCAAATGAATGAGCATCTTCGCGTGCTCCGTTCCCTCATGCCGGGCTCATACGTACAAAGAGTATGTATATATACTCTTTAATTTGTTTCTTTGAATATTGGTTAATAACTAATTCAGTGTGTACATTGTATAGGGGGATCAAGCTTCTATAATTGGGGGAGCCATAGAGTTCGTGAGAGAACTGGAGCAGCTACTTCAGTGCTTGGAATCACAGAAGAGGCGAAGGCTCTTAGGAGAAGCACCTCCAAGACAAGTGGGAGATTCTGCCACGGCGGCGGCTATGGCAGTACAGGCAGCTGAAGGTGGCGGAGGACCATTAATCTTTCCAGCTGCTAATTTATCTATTAATAATCCGAATGATCCGATAAAGTTTGTGGACTATGAAACGGGGCTTCGAGAAGAAACTGCAGAGAACAAGTCGTGCTTTGCGGATGTTGAGGTGAAGGTTTTAGGATTTGATGCGATGATCAAGATTCTATCTCAGAGGAGACCGGGGCAGCTGATTAAGGCTATCGCTGCGCTTGAGGATTTGCAGCTTAATATCCTTCACACTAACATTACTACCATTGAACAAACTGTTCTATATTCCTTTAATGTCAAGGTATGTACGTTCCGTTCAGCAGATGTTAAAGATAATAAGCAATGTTATTTAGACACACAAAACTAACACACGTAACACACTCTCGAGAAATTCACAATTTCATCCGATTAATAATATAGGGAGTTAATGAGTTAATTATATGCATGTGTATGATGGGCAGGTTGGAAGTGAGTCGAGGTTCACAGCTGAAGATATTGCAAGTTCAGTTCAGCAGATATTCAGTTTTATCCATGCAAACACCGCCAGCATGTGATCATACACGAGATCGATGATCAAGTTCAAGTAGCTAGCTACTTATGTTGAAGAAAGATCAAGATCAAGATCTGGATCAGTTTAATTTTTTTCGTGATGCCCCTGCCACTTGAATCTTATCATTAGTACTACCGTCTTGGTTTATTAAATAAAGAAAATTGATCTAGCAAAGTGGTCCCTGGTATATATAATATATAATACCACTTTAAATTTCCCATTTTCCTTAAATTACTTCATCTTCCATATTGTTTGTAAAAGGCATGTAGTCCTAAATCTCTTCCAAAGCAATAAGTAGTTTAATTTGCATGCCTCTCCAAGTTTTTTGGTGGTATGATTTGATGTATTGCGTTAATATCATACAAAAAGTAAAATTAAAGAGTTGTTATTCAGGCTACAAATGTATCGACCGCTCTATTTTTATACCAATTAAATGAATGTCAATGAGTGAACCGTATGCATGATTTCTTGTATTATAACTAGATTTTAACGATGGTATAGTTTGTACAAAGGTAAGAACCATGCATATGTGATATCCTTTTCCAAAGGTGGAGATAAGCTAGCTCTCTCTCTCTCTCTCTCTCTCTCTCTCTCTTGTGGGGATGGCCAGTTTGGAGTAGACAACTTCTGTATTCTGTCATGCATGGTTGAAACTTGAAAATAATTTTGGAAGGTCAACGGGTCCCCGTACCTTGCTGCCGTGGGTCGTTGACTTGTCAGCAATGACTCTTTTGGTGGTATTCGGCTGCACTCAGATGACCAAGATGTTGCCAAAGCTTAGAGGGTCCCTTGGTCTTTTAAATTTGTGAAGGTTCATCCATCACCAATTCAATTATATATGTTTGCTCACTCACATTTGTCTTAATTAAGGAGGGTTGACCCATATGAGCTCTTGGTCTCTTCCAAGAGATTCACTCAAAGAGAATGGGAGACCCCCTTCATTATTTAACAAGGGTTATTGTACTTGTCCTTGTATGTGTATGTATATATGCCTGCTATTAAAAGTCAATGGGTAACGATAGTGGCACTACGTACATATAACTTTTGTTGTTATTTGACACATTTCCAACGTTTAATATATAGCACAACGAATATTACCTAGTATTACAGTTTAATGATATTTTTATTCACTCGTAATTAAGAGATTTTAGATTTGACTCTCAAGCTCGATATCAATTTATTCCGCACTTTCGTAGTGTAAATATATTGTTGTATCAAATATATATGTGTGTATATAAAGAGAGCAAACCTGACAATGTTCACTTTATTAGAAGAGATTTGGATTTCAGTACAGTTGAAAAAAAAGTTGTACTAACTTCAAAAAAGATGCTTTTCTTTTTTAGAAGTATTTTTGCTCATCATCATTTAGTGTGGTGTATGCTCACCATCATAATTATTACCGTTAGATGCGTTTGAATTTCGAGATTCATGTAGTGCATAAACACAAATCTCAAAATTCAAACTTATCTAATAATGATAAATATGATGGTGCGTATACATCACACTAAATTATGGTGAGGAAAAATGCACTCTTCTTTTTTAACAACAAAAAATAGTGTGAAAGCAATAAATATGAGGCCAAAATTTAAAAAGACAAAATATGATAAAAAATCAAGTAATTCACTTTTTAGTGAAAATGATCTCAGAGATTTGTATAACACATAACTTTGATCTCTGAGATTTAAAATCAATAGAAGTAGTCCATGAGATTGCCCACCATCCATTATTTTGATCATTCCGCAAAAAAAACTCCGTTAAGTTGAGGGTATAAAACATAACTTTGGTCCCTGAAATTGTCAATCATCCATCATTTTGATCATTCCATTAAAAAACTCATGGACCACTTAACGAAGTTTTCTAATGGAATGACCAAAATAATATATGATTAACAATCTCATGGACCACTTTTATTGATTTTAAATCTCAAATAGCATTTTAACTAAAAAACATTCAGAAAATAACACAAAGGTTTATACTAATTTGGCATAAGCATATGTTCAATTTGAATACGGCTGAGAAAATTCTACCAATCTCAAACGAAGAATACATAGTGTTTAAGCACTCACAAACACCACATCCTAATTAACCAAATAGCTTTCGCAAAAACAGAGAACAAATATAAAGAAGATTAGAATACACTTCAAATTTCTCCTCTCACAAGATCACTAAAGTAACACTACTAACTTTAAATGGGTTGAACAAATGAGCTAAAAAAACTATTATTTCTCTAGGTAGGATGTCAGTTGAACTCTCTGGTTCCGTTTGGGCTGAATGAGATAGGTTGTGATCAATTAAAATGGACTTGGGTCAAGTCTATTGTTTATTGTGCCAAGGGGTGTGCTATCCACACACCTCATTTTACTCTCACACACCCCTTGATAATTTATGTCCGTTGATCTTCTTCAATTCATCTGATCTGACGATCGAAAAGTAAAAAGGTGTGTGAGAAGTAAAATGGGATGTGTGGATATCACACCCCTTATGTCAATTATGAGATGAATATGACTAAACATGATGAGTTATGAGTCCACAATACAAAGTGAGTTATCTAACATATCCTTATACATGGGTTATAAGTCCTGTCTTACAAGTTCCTGCCAATCCAATCATGTCCCCTAAAATCCAATCTCATACAACTCACCAAATAGGTTCTGTTTTCACTCACTTCTTCATAGTGATGAACTTGTCTTAGATATGTCTCACAAAGCAAACCTAGCCATTTTCACATGGCACTTACATGATATAGCTAAGTCCAATCCCCTCATTTTAACGTAGATAATATCGATTGTTAAAAAAAAAACAAAAAAAAATCTCAAATTGGACTAAAACAATGTGAGACCCAATACTGAGCCACATATCCAACAATCTTCACCTTGACGAAACTTTTAAGACATCAATCAAAAATCAACAATAGTACAAACTCTAAATACTAACAAGAGTACAAGTGACCCAAGCAAAATATTCCAAACTCACACCAAATGAGCCAATAACAAAGTTCAATTTCTTACGCACAAACAAGTGTCAAAAGAGAGCTATTACAAAGAATTGAAGCAACCCACATACAATAAATAAAAAGACAACAAACTAGTATACAAACTCTTCTTGTCACTCACCAAAGTTGCTACACACCCACAAATTATACAATCGCCTTACAAAGGTGCAACACTCTAGTGACAAAGAATAGCTTTTTTTGGTCTGTTCTATACAGAGTGTTGCCACACAAGAAAACAACAAGAAGAAATCTTCTTTCTTCAACACAGAAGGTGCGACAAGAACTCTCCAATTTTAAATGAGTTTTTCTCTCTCTTTTTTTTTTTTCCTTTTTTTTTTTAATAACAAAATGTCTATGTTTCCCCACCACCAAATCATTGATTGGTTTGATTGGAATGTTTTAATATTGTGCACTGCCAACTTGACTTCTTTATCAAGATGATCGAACGCTAAGCAATGAACCTCTTATTGGCTTAGGTTACTTCAATTTTTGGAGTAAAATTAAAAAATTTAGTCCAGTAAATTTAGGTTTTAATCCAGGAACAACTTTTCTGGCTCAAAATTTTAGTCCCAGATTATTAAAGGATGAATTTATGTTTTTTTTTTTAACTTAACTTTTCTTATAAAAAAAAAAAAAAGTATGTAGACTATCATAAATTAATTTTATGAATATTTTGACCTAAAAATATTTCAACTCCGATAAATATTGAAAAATCACTAAATTGACACATGAAACACTATGGAATAATATGAAACACATGATATAGATTGGAAGAATTGCAAATGGGAAGAAATGGTTTTGGAAGATGGTAGAAAGAAAAATTGGAAGAATTGTAGGAGAAAAGTGAGTTTTGTGTGGATGTTTGAACAACTACATAGGTATTTATAGAGTTTTTGGATGAATTTTGAGTTAAATAGTTTTTTTTATTATTATTTTAGCCGTTGGATTTAAATTTGGGTAGTTAAATATTTTTTTACCATTAGATTTAATTATATTTGATCTCCGCCGTTGGATTCAATAAATATATTAATATAAAACTAAAAAAAAATTGTTTGAATGTGGACCGTTGGATGAACCATCGGCCCAACTGATTGTGACCGCTACATCATAAAAAGTTGTTGGGCTTAGTTACCCATTAGACATCAGGGCAGATAGCCCCATGTAGGTGGGCCATATTCTCTGGGCTCCACCCAGTTTTTTGAGCTAAATCTTGGAGGGAATTTGAGTTTTTTTTTTCAGTTTTAACACTTAACCCAATTTTAGAATAAGGGTTGGAGCGAAATGGAGGGAAAATTTAGAAGTTACTCCAAGGTTGGAGTTATGCAAATAAACCTTGTGGTATGTAAATGTTTGTCAAAGTTGTGCACATTTTCAGACCTTGCACACTCCAACAAAACCAAATATGTTGAAAATTAGTTTTATTGAGTTTTTTTTTTAAGTAAAATGGAGGAAGAATACGAAAACGATTGTTTAGTCATTTGACTCGTTCCATTTCTCATATGCAGATCACCATTCTATAATTACAGAAAATATATCAAAATATTCCACCATTTTCAAAATATATCAAAATACTTTCATAAACACTGACAAAAATAAAAAAAATTTGATCAAAAAAATAAACACTGACTAAAAATTATTTTATTAAAACTTTCTTGTGCATAGATTAACGTGTTATGGATTTGAATCATAACTTAGTAAAAACACATCATAGTTACATCAACATGACGACGTAACTTTATGTTCCTATGTGACTTGACCAGTCACTAAGGTGACCTTATTCATCGCTCTCCTATTCCATGATCTCCTCCAACAACCACAACTATCAGTAACTATGTAAGTTTAAAAATTTGATCTCTCTAGTATTGCTCTTGTAATATTTTCAAGTATTCTCGAAACACATTAAGTCTTTTTAACAGGTGGCTTAGAGCATTTCTGTCAAATTCAAAATATCAAATTTAAATTTGATGGCTGACTTGACTTGGCAATTTGACATGTATTTTCCTTCCATCCAGTATGCTAACATTTATTGCTTCATTTATATTTTTTTTAAACAAAATTAATAAAAGTTGGGTTGTTATTGGTTTAAAATAATTAAATAATACTTAAATATGCTAGCATTTAAGATAAGGCAAATGAATGCCTTTGGAAATAGCAAAAATCAAATTTGAATGTAACTTCAAATTTAACATTTCTTTTTCTATGTCAGCTTAGCTTTCTTTTCCATGTCATCTTTGATATCTCGATTGGAGTAAATAGTACATCATTTGTTATCATTATATGCCTATGTGAAATTTTTGACATTTCCTATGAAGATGGTCTTACGTGACTAACCAAAATTTGCGAAAAGTAAAAAATTAAAATAAAAGCAGGCCAAGGCGTTCATCGAAATCCTAATTCTTCCAGGTTCAGCGTGTGTAGGCGCCTTGTTTATTGATCCGGAAATAGTATGGGCCTGAGACTGGGCCGGGCTGTTACCCTCGCAGCCCAGATGTCAAACGTACACCCGCCAGCAGCGGATGGAACCCGCATCCTATATAAACTTCCTTTATAAACCACACTTACACAAAACCCTAACTCTTGCACTCATTTCTTGCTTCAGAGCCGCATTAGGGTTTCAGAGAGAGAGAGAGGAGAGCTCGAGAACAATGGTGTCTGGTTCAGGTATCTGCGCAAAGCGCGTTGTGGTGGATGCCCGCCACCACATGCTCGGCCGCCTGTCGTCGATCCTCGCCAAGGAGCTGCTTAATGGCCAGAAGGTAGTGGTTGTTCGCGCGGAGGAGATCTGTATCTCCGGTGGGCTGGTGAGGCAGAAGATGAAGTACATGAGGTTCTTGCGTAAGCGCATGAACACCAAGCCTTCTCATGGTCCTATCCACTTCCGCGCCCCTGCTAAGATCCTCTGGCGCACCATCCGTGGGTACGTCGTCTTTTCTCTGTTATTCTTCACCGATTTATTGATTTATGCATGTTTAAATGAGGTTAACCTGGTGTGTTTCTCTTGGTTTAATTGATTAGGTTACATTCTCTTATGTAAAGTAATGGAACTTATGAAACCCATGTGGGGATTTTGTTAGTTTTTATTGTTGGGTTTTTGGTTGATGATGGAAATTGATTGTTTTAATTCAGTAGGAGCTGTAAAGTTTTGTTTTTGTTCTATTTTATAGTATTTTTTTTTCTGGATTTAGTTAAAGAGTTATGTAGTTCTTTGTTAGGAATAAAGAATGTTCTTGCTTTCTGATTTGTTCTACTGCTTGAGAGAGGTTTTTTTTTTTTTTTTTTATTGGTAAATATGTTGAATTAGTTTTGTTATTACTTTGTTTTCCAGGATGATTCCCCATAAGACTAAGCGTGGTGCTGCTGCACTTGCTCGTTTGAAGGCATATGAGGGTATTCCACCTCCATATGACAAGGTTAAGAGGATGGTCATTCCTGATGCACTCAAGTAAGCATTTTGACACAATGTTTTTAATTTGCTAATTTCCTTCCTTGTTGTTTTAGATTGTTTTGTTTTTCATGACTTGAATGTTTATTGTTTTAACATTTGGGAATCTTCAGGGTCTTGAGGCTCCAAGCAGGACACAAGTACTGTTTGTTGGGCAAGCTTTCTTCTGAGGTTGGATGGAACCACTACGAGACCATCAAGGTGAGAATATCATGCTTTCCTTGTTTGCTTTTACTGAGTCTTTTGTGTCCTTGTGCTGAGAGTTTCTCTGCAATGGTTTGGGTAAAGGATCAAGTTTTCTCTTTTAGTTCAAAGTAGTATACCCATTATTTCCTATTGAGTCAGATTGCAGTCTTAGTTGAGTACAATGTAGTTTCCGTGGTTTATGTATTTTCTCCCTCTTACATGCACAATGTTGTTTGCACTTTTGTTTTCATGATTTGGAAAACGGTTGCTATATGCTTCATGTTGCATGTCTGAGTGGTGGAGTCGACTAACTATTATTGTACTATAGTAGTAAAAGGCACTCCTTTTGCTTTCTATCTTTATTAATCACTTGTATTGGTCTTTACTTTATGTTTTCTAAAGCTATGATCGGGTGAGGGATCTCGAAGTCTCAATTAAGGAATTTATCACAAAATATTAGATGGGGGGTGATTACAAAATGCCCTCCTTGACCATTACAAAGGCATATGAGGGGAATTTGCAAATCCGACTTGGAAGGTGTCATTTGCAAATCCCTCTTATGTTCCTTTGTAAGTATCATACAGGGCAATATCTTAATCCCGTCTATGAACCTTTTGTGTTCCATTCTTTACTTTGTCTCAATCCCTTGGAAATTGGCAATTTCTCACCCAAACATAGCATAAGTTCTAGTTATGTAGTTGATTATATTCGTTCGTATTGTCAATTGTTTATTATTCCTCTGATTTGATCCCCATGTATACTAACACTTGTACTGAAAATTTGGAGTCTCACACTTTATATTAGCACTTGATTTTTTGTATTCTATGTGGTCTTGTGGTTTATCTTAGTTAGGTCTAGTACTTTCTGTGTTTGTATTATTGCCATCACCAGAGCATAAATTCAATATGCGTCCATGGATCTCATATGCATGTTTTTTTATCTTTGTGAAAGCGCTCTCATTATGCAATGGAGGAGCACGAAGTTTCCTGCATTTATTTTACTCTCTTGTGCCTACTAATGTTAAACTACTGAATTTGTGGCGTGCAGGAGCTTGAGAACAAGAGAAAGGAGAGAGCCCAGGTTGCTTATGAGAGGAAGAAACAGTTGAACAAACTGAGGGTGAAAGCAGAAAAGGTTGCTGAGGAGAAACTAGGACCCCAGCTTGAGATCATTGCCCCCATTAAATATTGATGAGTAGAATTTTTTGTTTTAAGATGATAATGTTGTTGACGATTGAGTTGCGGAGTTCAATTTTGTTCGTGTTATGACACTTCGTTGTTTGCTCTAATAGCTTAAGCATTTGCGTAGTTGTTTCTGATACATATCTTTCACTTGTTTGGGATTTGGTATTCATGAAGTGGCTAAATCACTCTTTTATGAATTCGGTTCTTTTGCTTTTGAAATTACAAGAACACATTTGAAATTGACACGAATCTCCCTATCAACATTTAAGTTTAACACCTGATTTAGTAATCAACCCTGAATAATGGTTATGAGTGCGAAGTTAGAGTAGGGGTGATCTTTGGTATATCCGGATCGGAAACAATTGGGATACATGTCAATGTTGAGTTCTCCTAAGATTTTGTTCCTGCAATTGGACAATGCCATCTCAAAGCGGTTTTTACCATATATCTAGTTCGATGTGTTTTTTCAATGAACTTTGTGCCAGCAAACAAGAAATTAAAGTTATGTATGCTAGTTCTATGTGTGTTTTGTCAGCAACCAAGAAATTAAAGATATACATTAGCAAGGCCACAATAAAATTTTGACAGTAAAAACTCTGGACAAATTTCATGCATAGTTGATTTGGCAAAATTTCATTTACATGAAAGCAAACATCGTTAGCCTAATTGACGAACACCCTGAAAAGGGGGAGGTGTCTACCAAGGGCCTGTTATGCTTAAGTCAGAAAAGTAGCACAAAGAAAAGAGAACTTGAAAGAATAAGGACTTCTTAGTACTAAGTGACTTCCTGTTTTCTCCAATTGACTTAGCTATTTATATGGAAAAAAACCCTAGCAGGTAGCTGGGAAGGGAAGTTGTAGAGCATACCAGGTAGTCTTTGATGACGTAGGCTAGCCCTATAGTCCTGCCATCTAGTATTCTTGAAGATCCTGTTGGTAAGAGCACAAGTGCACTGGACACCCAAGGAGAGACTCCGGAGAGTCAGTGCCCTGCCATCATTAGATTGAGTGTGGCCCAATGGCAGGACATATTTTGGGTAGCCTGGAGAGCCCATAATATGTGCCATGGGCGGCTAGGAGAGCCCATGGTGCGTTTTGGCATAAAATCTCAATTACCTTAGGGCAAACTACATCTTATTCACTTAAGATAATTTTGTGGTCTACTCATGATGTCAAGGGTACAATATTGAGCATATAGTATGTGTTTTTCTCCTATTAAATATGGTTAATTTATGTCTCCAGAAAACACATCATTAGAATGTCCGACATAAATTTTAAGTAGCTTATGGCATTGAGAAATTGAGAAGAAAAACAGGTTTCATAATAGTCTTTGTAAAAACTTCTGAAAGGACTAACATCAGTGATGTGGTCATATTTTCATATATTATCATCATATATTCACTTTGAATTTTGTATACATTAATGGGTTAAATGCACTAATAATATTGTTTTGATCTTTAAGCATTTGATAGCAGAACAACATGAAAAAGGAGAAGAAAATGACAATTTTGGGTGTCTAGAGTAATTTCAATGGAGTAAGAGGCTAATTAATTGCACCAAGACATGCATTACAATAAGAAGATGAGACTACAACGGTTTTGGAAATCAAATGGACATGGGAATGCTATTTAATGGATTTTAGAGAGAACTTAATTACTAGTTTTATTATTTCCGTTTATTCTTCTTTCCCTTAATAGTGACTTAAGGTCCATTAGATAGGATTTTAGTGGGCATTTAATTGAATTTAGTAGGATGTATTTTCCTTCTTGCTATGGGTTTTATATAAGGAGGTAACTTCTCCTTATTAGGAGTCAGCCACTAAAACAAAAAATCATCGTATATTGGAGGAGAAGGTTGCGGCAAAGAGGAAGAAAGCTAGAGTTTTTTTTTTTTTTTTCCTTCTTTCTAGGGCTACGATGTAGTCTGATCATGTTAATTGCCCTGTGACATTGTTATTATCATGTTTTCTTCTTTATTGAGTAATTTTTCCTATACATAATGCTCTTGTTTTTTGTTTAGATGCTTGATCACCATCTAAGTTTTAGTTAAGTTGATTTGATGCAAGTTATAATAGATTATAGATGTCATACTTCACTTAGATTTAGCTTCTTGCAATTGATACCATAAACACCTATTTGTAGATGCCATGCAATTAGGGTTTGTGTGATTTTTCCAAGGATTTCCATAGAGCTTAATGGGTTCTTACTTGTTTAAATTCATCTAGATGCCATAGAAGGTTAACATGTACGGATACTTTTGATGCAACCAGATGCCATGACCGTTGAATAATTAGGGAAAATCGATCATCAATATCGGAGAACTACTTGAGCATAACATACTAAGGGAATTAAGTAGAATTGCTTACGGTGAATTCAGATGCCCTAGGTCTTCTTTTCTTATGTTTTCAATTTATTAATGCATTTTATTTTCAAGTTTTGTTTAATTTCACTTTAAGTCAAAATGTCATATATTTTCTATTAAAGCTTCTCCATTATAATTTGTTTCAATATAGTTAATAACATTTTTAGAATCAATTCCATGTATGTGGAAAGATATCCGTGCTTCAAAGTAATACCATCATCTGATTCGTATACTTGTGAACACTAAAATTCGAGACTTGATGAGGTGAATTTTGGTTATCTAATTTTCGCAACAATCAATGACTTTATAATTCAATTATTTTCACATAAAAACCTTATGTCATAATTAAAAAATAAACAAAATAGCATAGCGTCTTTAAACTCTATGCTATTTACGCGGTAGTTGGCTGCACTTGATTTTGAAGAACCTCCGGACTTAGTTAGGTATATGTTGTTTGACAATTGTATCTTTTAGTTGCATCCATATTTAGGATTGTTGGGTGTTTGGTTTTCTTCCACACGCGCAGCCACGCTCCACACATGCAATTTTTGTAGAGTACATGCTCCACCATTGGAAACAAACTATTTAATAAATCAAATAAAAATCACGAACATGAAATACGTGAGAAGTTAAAAACAACATGTTTATCATTTTCTCTTTTTTATTTCGTGCTATCCTTCACATCATCACTTGTTAGAAAAGGAGAATATGTTTTGGAGGCCTTAATATGCCAAAGCAAGGGTTGACACTTGACATTAAGTAGTAGTAGTTTTTTTTATAATCTTTTTTCTAGGGTGGAAAAATAACAGATATGGAACCCTTGGAGGAATGGAGAGCAGTTATTGAAATTATAACAGAAAATAACTGTATAATTACTTATTAGTGTTAGGTTGACAAACATTTTGGACCAAATTTACAAATTATATAATGTGTCATCAATAAAAAATAAGCACGTTAATTAGCATTGAGGGTTGTGGACTGGATGGGATCGGACCTTAGGAAATGATTGGATTGGTAGAGATATATAAGGCATGACTTGTAACTCATGTATAAGAATATGTTAGATAATCTTTTTATTGTGGATTCATAATGCATTATGTCCATCTTACATTTTGACACAACAAACAATAGATTCGACTCAAGTCCATTTTAATTGATAATAACCTATCACTAACAAGCCCACCAAACAGGCCCTACATAATAATCTAATTATCAAAAACCACGTCATATAATATACAAAGTATAGTTTAAGACTTAAGTAGATGGTCTCTCTAACATTACCTATTACTTATTTTAAAAGAAAATGGTCATAAAGTTTTCAAACACTAATATTATTTTAACAAATTTGTAGCAATTAGCACTTCAATTGGTAGGTAAGGCTCACAACCAACAATTATAGGTCAAAAACTTGGTTTACCAAATTTATTCAAAACTTACCTACCACACTTTGATATAGTGCGTTTTCATCCTACAAAATAACAAAAATTCTAGATTGTTCGACTCATTTGAGGAAGAAACTCGGAGAGTAGCCAAATGTCCTTCTCAGATGTTTTTGCTTGAGAAGGTGGAAAATGTAAGGACTTGATGATTTTCAACCTCAATTTTGATGGCCACAAAGAATTTTGTTAGAGCATACTTGTGCTTAATTTTTTTAAAAAGCACGATAGAATATTACCATATTAAAATAAGAATAAATTAGGTTTCAGTCTCTAGTTAATAACGAGCATTGACTAAAATCTTATTGATTTCAATTTGTGACCAAAGTTCTTGACTTTTTTCACACTAGACTTCATAATAAATTTTGAGAAATGTTAAGCGGGCTCTTGCGAAAGTGAGATTTTTCATGAACTTTCTGACACATCACAGTTTAATGTCAATTCTCATATTAACATTATGAAACATTGTGCGAAAAAAAATATAAGGAGATAAAATGTCCATAGGAGTTTCACTTTTGAAAGAGTCTTCTTAACTTTTCTCATAATTTTTTTTACACGACAACAATTTTTATTGGGTATTGGAAATAATATTTATTCATTCGTTTATTTATAGAATTGTTGAAAAGTTGTTTATTGTAAGTTTCTCAAAATTTTGAGCGACTTATTCTTAACTAATCAACAAGATTATCTAATTTTTATTTTTATTTAAAAAAAAAAAAAAAGATTATTTTCATCTTCAAACGCTACCCAAATATGCTATGAGTTTTTTTTTTTTTTCTTTGGTCAAATAATAAATTTGTTAAATGAAATGTAGATTAAGGAGTCGATGGATCTCAAACTTACGCCGTAATACAAGGTAAAACTACTCTACACCACTGTAGTAAAGAACCACTTGTGCTATGGGGTTTAGCAGCCACAAAACTTTAGAATCAAGGTCATCCACTGGAGGAAGTCTCGTCGTTTTCTTTCAAGCTCACTTTTGTTTGCAACTTTATTTTATCGCTCATCCTACATATATCAAAATTGTACTCATGAATCACTATCCATGGCTTATATCCCCATATATTATTATTGGTACATTATTTTTCAGTTGCCGCAGTTTATGCATCATACTTACATATGTATATTCTTTTTCGTTGATTTGAAAATGTATCCATAAGTTTATTAGAAAAATTTTATTAATTTTATTAAGCATAATATCTATTTATTATTATTATTATATTATTATTATTATTATCCTTTTTTTGAAGAATGTACCCATGTTTTTTGTTTGAAGAATCAACCAAATGCCTTGTGGTACATTATTTTTTTGGTTGATTTAATGAATGTACCCATAGTTATTTTTATATGTAAACATGATTTTCTACTAATTTTGAATTTTCTTTCCATAAGGTGGGGAGT